AGCTCTCCGGCATTTTCATTCTGTAAAGGAGCTCACCAGACGAAAAAGGTTGGAGACCCCTGATGTTCAGTATGAATAAATACACAAAATTCTTTCACATTAAAGACAATTTAAGTATAATCGGGTACAAAGGAATATTTATTTAATGTGTTAAGACTATGCCAAGGCCGCAACAAAAGAAAACATATGCTGCTACTGCCTTTTGCCTTTGCACGACTCCTTATTTTTGGCTCATGATACAAAGGCAGAGTACAGGAACTGACAAAACAAAATAAGAGTCAGAGGTCAATTTTGAGCTCAATAATTTTCACGATATTTATTCACATGTTAAAGGAGGTCTCAAATACTCCCCAAAATGACATTAACTCACTTTTGACCAAACATCCACTGTGTTTTTAAACTCCATACGCATTCACTAGAATCATTTGGATGATTTCAGACCTAGAATTGCCAATCTCTACTGAATTACTTAAGTCAAAAGGGGCTGATAACTTGAAAACTACCGCTTCATGACATCACAAGGTGTAACAGAACATTTTGAGCTTTGGAGATATAGACAGACTAATAAAGTAAAATTACTCGGACATGTGTGAATGAAACAAAACACAGCTCATGGTATGTTTTTGAAGAGGTACCACCATTATAACATGGCTTAAAGCTCACAAGAATACATTTTTGTAATACAGCGATTATTGGGTTTAGTAAAGAGAAACTGAACTGAAAAGAAGGGTAAAAATCACTTCTTTTATGATTTGAAAATACCTCTCAAGAGCAAAAAAATACACCACCTGCAATTGTTAAAATTTGCTAGTGACTTTCCCCCCCAAAAATGACCCAAAGTTGCTATAAATAAGCTGACGTGGCAACTCTGTACTCCAAATTGTATTAATGATACAATAGAACTCCACATTTTTTTCTTTTTATTTGTTTGTTTTGCCACAGGGCGTTCTAAAAATACATTACTTTTTCATTACCTAGGCCCTTCCTCCTTACCTCCAATCTTTACACAATGTGCCTTTAAAGCCCCTTAAACTGCTTTCACAAAATGCTCCCAACACCTGAAAAGAACTACTCCTTCTTTATTGCCCATTACATCTTAACCCACTCTCACTCATCCATCAAGACCGGATTTAGTACGAAATAAACCTGCCCTCCTCCCCCTCCTTTTTCTCCACGCGTTACTCCCTATGTGAAGTTCCATTTGTGCTGCTAAGAGTCCGCTCGGCTCTAAGTGTGTCGAAGGGGCCTCTCCAGCTTCGCTCTTGTCCAAAAGGGTGATTTGTTCATTTCTGAAAGGGCCCCGGCGGTTCTACGGAGAAGTGAGAGATGATTAGGCTATTGTGACTGTAAAAAAGAATATTCTAACTAAAATAGCCACCCTTTGATTTGAACTTGCACTTTTGTCATTCTGTAACCCCGACATGGCACAACTGTGAAGTGAAAACCTTCAGCAAGAAGCTCATTGAGAGAAAGCCAAAGAGTTTGCAGTGTTGTCAACAAAGCAAAGGGTGGATACTTTGATGTCTTCTGTATGTATATAAAATGTACAAAGTGGTAAACATGAATAAAGTTTTTAAAAAAGGATAGAAAGAGAAGGTGTGTCCAAACTTCTGACTGGTAAAGGCCTCTCCAGCTTCACTCTTGTCCGAAAGGTTGATTTGTTAATTTTTGAAAGGGCCCCATTGGTTCGACGGAGAAGTGAGAGATGATTTGGCTATTGTACTGTAAAAAAAAATCTTCTAACTATTTATATAGATAAGATAAACATTTATTTGACTCACAATGGATAAATTACAGTGTTGCAGTGTAAAGTTCAAGAACAGCAGGAGAGTAGGAACAAGCAATCAAGACAGGGCCATATTTTTCAGACTATAAGTAGCACCAGCCAAAAATGTGTGATGAAGAAGACAAAAACATATAAGTCGCACTGGACATTTCATCTTGAAACAGAACAAGAGACTGTTAACGTCACATATGAACAGTTCTTCAGATAACTATAGCATAAACAACAGAACAGAACAAGTTCACCAAACTCTCCATCTCAATCCAAATCACTAAATCCACTGAATTCTTCATCCTCTGTGTCACTTCTGAGCAACTATGTCATCAGACTCAGCATCAGTTCCAGTTAGAATTAATCAGGATGGTTTCGGTTGTCACTGAAGTCTAGGTTTTGTCAATCCATCTGATGACTTCCAGGAAAGTCACATGGCGCACCAGTTCGGTTGCCGTGGACCTGTGTTTTCCATCGCCCTCTCATGGCTGTCAGTGTGAAGATGTTAATATATAAATTGCACTGGAGTATAAGTCGCACGAGCACCCAAACCATGAAAAAAAGTGTGACTTATAGTCCGAAAAATATGTTAGGTAAAAACACTACCAGTCAAAAGTTTGAACGTTCTTTCCATCTTTCCATTGCCATGATATTTTACATTGTAGATTGCCACTGAAGGCATCAGAAACTATGAATGAACATGAATGTAGTAAACAAGAAATACTGTACATTTGAACCCTGGTTTGCACTTTTGGTATTTCTTGACCCTGACACGCCACATCTGTGAAGTGTAAACCATTTTAGTAGACTTCATCAAGAAGCTCTTTGAGAGAAAGCCAAGGGTTTGCAATGCTGTCAACAAAGCACAGTGTGGATACTTTGAAGATTTAAATATGTATGTATAATAAAAAATATATATTTTGTTGGGTTATTTCACTTTTTAAATTTTTTTTTATAAAGCATAAGTCCATACATCTTTCATCATATATTTGATGCCGTCTGTACGTATAAAACATTTAGAAAGTAGCAAACATAAAGAAAAACTAAAGCTCTGAAAGACGGTGGAACGTAACAAAGTAAACGTAGTAAAGTATTGTACTTTACAGTTTACATTTTAGGTATCTGTACTTTAAGTGGATACTTTTTACTTCACTACATTTGAGAGCAGGAATCTGTACTTTCTACTCCACTACTTTTTTGAACAGGACTTTTTTATAGTATTTGATGAGACCTGCTGAACATGGTCGTAGTTTGAGCAAACAAAAATATACAAATAAAAATATCTGAAGCTTTATTACACCTTGAAATCGGCATGAAATACTGATTAAATATTTAATACAGTTACTTAAGTTGATGTTTTCATGTGATACTTTTATTTTTGCTCTTGTATCTCTACTTTTAGTCTGAAGTCTAAGTCTAGTTTTACTTAAATAACAAAATCAAGTGCTTCTTCCATCACTGCTGAAAGAGAAGATGAGTCTAAACTTGAGTGCGAGTGTAAATGACAGGCTCTTTATTGTGCGCTTTTTAACATTCTAACCAAAGCAATAACATCTGAGAGGAGGGAAGTCTGCTCAGTTGTAAGTGTGTGGAAGGGGCCTCTTTCCAACTCCCTAAGTCTTGTCCAAAAGAGTGATTTGTACTTCACGAAGATCTCCCTTATGACTCTTCCGGAGAAGCGAGGGCCATTTTGAACGCACGCCTCACTGCAGGTATTCCCCTTCATGCTGGGACAAAACCACTGTTTGTTTTGTCTTCCCCGCTAAGGATGTTACTCACCAGAATGTGCCTTGCTCATGTGGGGTTCAAAGCCGGGGAGGGTGGGGTGGAGAAAGACAAGCGGGGAGATGATGTGACACCGTTTAGCTGTCAGGTTTTTTACGGTTCCAAGGGGGGTAATTCAGTGGTGAAGAAGTAAACAATTTTGAGACTTAAGTAAAAGTACAGACACTGGAGTGTGACAAAAATCGACTTATGTAAAAGTATTTAAGTACCTGTTTAAAAATGCACTTTGAGAGTAAAAAATAAAAGTATTTCGCACAGATTTTAAGGTATTATAAGGCTTCAAATGTTGTAATTTTCATACAGATTTGTACTGAATTCTGTTTTACAGGCTTAGATAAAATACTAGATGTTAAGTATTTTTTGGGATGTTAAAATAATCAGAGGTGAATTGAATTTGCAGGTTGAATGATCACTAAGCACACTTATTATTTCTCCATCTGCCATTCATTCAATTATGTGTGTTTTTATAGCTGAAAAAACATGCACACCTACAGTCAGCGGGTCATCTTTCGCACAGATCTGACCCGTATCTTGGTCTGGAGGCATCTCCTGCTTGTTTCCATGGAGATAGTTGTAAAACCAAAAATAAGAAAATGGAAAAACAACAATTTTCTTCATTATTTGTTTCCAAAACCAAAATGAAAAAACAGATAACTTTTTTTCAGTTTTCGATTTCGGGTTTAAATGAGATAACGGCCATTTCCTGTTTCCGTGATTTAAAATGAGATGCCGGACTGAACCAGGATGGAACTAGGACTAAAACAGGACTAAACCAGGTCCAGGACAAGAGCAGAACTAGGCCAGGACTGAGACCAGGACTGAGACGAGGACCAGACCAGGATCAGACCAGGACCAGACCGGGACTGAGACCGAGACCGGGACCAGGACTAAGACCAGGACTGAGACCAGGACCAGACCAGGACTGATACCAGAACTCAGACCGGAACCAACCCAGGACTGAGACCATCACCAAACTGGGACTGAGACCAGGACCAGATCAGGACTGACGGTTTAGTCCTGTTTTAGTACTGGTTTAGTTCTGGTTCAGTCCTTATGCGGTGCAAAAGTTCAGCATCACAGTTGAAGTCATGGAAACTGTTAGTCATTTTTTCCATTATTCATTTGAACACAAAATCAAAAACTGAAAAAACAACTGTTATCCATTTTTTCATTTTGGTTTTGGAGACAAATAATCAAGAAAATAGGTGTTTTTTCATATCTTATTTTTTATTTTATTTTGAAAACACTAATGAACGAATGATACATGAATTCACTTAAACTGCATTGCACATGAAGTTCAAATATGACTTTTTAAATCCATTAACAGATTCTAGATTCTATTTTTGTTTTCTTTTGTTAACTATAGTCTGTCATTCTGGGGCATTGTCATGTTTTGACTTCTACTGGTATGTGACTCTTTGATTTTCTCTGTCTTTTCCAGCCCAATGACCCGGTGACAAACATCTGCCAGGCCGCAGACAAGCAGCTCTTCACTCTGGTGGAGTGGGCCAAGAGGATCCCTCACTTCTCTGAGCTGCCTCTGGACGACCAGGTCATCCTCCTACGAGCAGGTACGTGCTTAATGAATTCAAATTGATCACACTAGTTTCTGATCTATGTTAGAATGTTGTTTCCTCATCACAAACAGACCTGGAGTTGTGTTTTGTTTCATTCACACATGTTTAACACACAAACCCTGCATATTTAAGCTGAGTTCTTCTCTCTAATCTGTTCCACCTTGTGATGTCATGTGGTAATACAGAAATGTGCTCCACTGTGTCTCTCCTTCACTAGAATCATTTGGATAATATCAGACCCGGAATTGCCAAGCTCTACAGAACGAAATGTAAAAGGAGCTGTTAACTTGAAAACTACCACGTCATGACATCACAAGGTGGAAAAGAGCATTCTGAGCTGTGTGATGTAGACAGAGTAATAATGCAGGATTACTCAAACATGCGTGAATGAAACAAAACACAATTCCAGGCATGTTTTTGAAGAGGTAACAACATTATAACACTGTATATTATATTTACTAAGAATCAAAGAAGTTGTCATTTTGGTGAGATAGGCAGAGGAAACATCAGAGTGCCCTAAGTGACCAAATCTAGTCTATTTTTTACAACAAACCCAGATTTCATTTAGTTACCAAGTTGAATAACTAAGAACTGTGAGGTGTGTTGGAAAAACATCTCCAAATTAACCTAGGCCTATAGGATTGACCCTTTATATACCGTGTTTTTCGTACTATAAGTTGCTCCGGGGTATAAGTCGCAGCAGCCAAAAGATGTGTAATGAATAAAAAAGAACATATATAAATCGCACCGGACTATAAGTTGCACTTTTTTGGGAGAAATTATTTTATAAAATCAGAGACCAGGAACCGACATTTCATCTTAAAAGGCAAGTTATAATAATAACAACAGACAGTTAACTTCACATATGAACAGTTCTTCAGATAATTATAACATAAACAACAGAACAAAACAAGTTTACCAAACTCTCCATCTCACTCCAAATCACTAAATCCACTGAATTCTTCATCCTCGGTGTCACTTCTGAGCAACTCTAAGACCTCCAGAGCTAAACAGAGCACCGCTTCCTCTTCTGTGTAGCTGTCGTCAGACTCAGCATCAGTTCCAGTTAGAATTATTACGGCCTTTCTGAATCCCGACAGGATGGTTTCGGTGTCACTGAAGTCCAGGCTTTGTCCATCCATCCAATGACTTCCAGTGACCCGCCCGGTTACCGTGAAGCTGTGTTCTCCATCCCTACTTTCCTACAGTCCCTCACATGTTTCTCGCTCACTCCAAACTTTCTTTCTGCTGCTTGATTAGCATTTTCAGCTGAATATTTCTGTACTTGCAGCAGGACCATGGATTTATTAAAATAACAGGAGGCAGGACAGTGGCTTTTTCTGCAGGAGAAATGCACAGTAGAGCCAAGTGACAGTGGTACAGGAGTAATAGGAGCAGCAGATACTGGCACACAAGCCTAGAGCGCCCTCTTGTGGCCCTCAGTGTGAAAATTGTAATATATAAGTCGCACTGGAGTATAAGGACCTCTCAGGACCACCCAAACCATGAAAAAAGTGTGATAATAGTCCAAAAAATACGGTAACTGCCACTCAGAATCTCTCATCCCTACATACTTCTAAGTCTCTGAAAGTACAATACTCCTATAAAACATACAGTATGCCAACTTATAAATGTAATAATAATAAATAATAATATAATAATAAATCAATGTGCAGTTGTACGGAAACAAACTGTGTACAATTACTTTGAAAAAATAGAAGCATTCAAGCATTTGCTGTCCATTATCTGAAGGCCATTGTTGTCATAATAACAATTCTATACGAATTTGCAAACAGGCAGCCTCATTATGAAAAAACAGTATTATAGAATGAATCTGATCTAGCACGCTAAATGATGGAAACTCTACTGGCTATTGTAGAAATTAAATCAAGGCTACACATGTTAAAACGGCATAATTAGCCTATTGTGTGTTTCCAGTTTAAAGAGAAAATGCAAATAGGTAAAGTTATTATGAAAAAATGTAGGCCTATTTTAAAATTCATCTAAATTGAAGAAGTGATTAGTTTCTAAATCTAGCATATTAATGATGGAAAATGTGCCGACTATTGTAGAAATGAAGAACAATAATTGGCTACATATGTTAAAACATCATTGTTAGGCTGTTATATATGGATGTTATGTATTTCCAGTTTAAAGCTGTAGTATCAGGCTGGCTCCACCTAGTGCCTCAGCTCAATTTCATGTCTCTCCAGTGACTAGGTCAGGAATTGGAATACCGTATTTTTCGGGCTATTAGGATTAAAAGGCGCACTGTCATTAAATGGTCTATTTTCAAACTTTTTTCACAAATAAACCGCACCGGACTTTAAACTAAACACAACAGTTGGATGGGTCAGTGGGACTTTGTTTGGCGCGTTCACCGCTCGATTGTTGGCGTGTTCACAGTGACTCAGTTGTTCAGTTGTGTCTAGAAGTGGCACATTGCACTCGCTTTTTCAGTTCGTTCCTCCGTTCCGTTCCTCGTCAGTGTGGCTGAAGGTGTTTTTCGCCACGCGGTCGCTGTCTGCTCCGTGTGTGTTTGCGTGCGCTTCGGGTGGTGCGGCTTTGTAGTTTACTGAAGTTGTGCTGGGACACCTGAGTGGATTTGTGTATAGGGTACTCTGGCTTGCGGGTGCGCAATCGTTTTTTGATAGGGTTGGAGCCTTAAGAGCGCGCCAAATAGCCCGGAAAATACAGTACACTAGACGGTTTGCAAGAACCCCAGAAGATGTAGAGCTCACCGGCCAATCAGCAAACAGCACAACAGTAAACAAATCGGTCAAGATGGATGTAGACGAAGACAGACATTCTGTGTTGGCAACGATTCCCGAGATTGAGGATTTAAACCCGGAACAAAGAGAATGTTTGGTGAATTTTATCAAGGAGAAAGAGAAAGAGAAAGTTATTGCCCTTCTTCCTACGGGATTTGGGAAAAGCTTAATATACCGGTTAGTTCTGTAAGCCGCGCACAACCAACCAACTAGTATCAACTAGTCACAACCAAATAGCAGCGATTGGTTAAATAAAAAAAGTACCATCGAGCGAACGAATTCTAGCGCTGCAAGGTCAGACGGTTTCCACGAAGTGAAACCAGCTGATTAATCAGGCTAATAGTATGTAACTTTTTTGCCAAAAATGTGGTAAAATAAAAGCATATTTTTCCACTTCCTACTTTATTTCTATAGCACATTTCACAAACAGTTTCCAAAGTGCTGCACAAATACATACTAATAACAACAATAATAAAATGATAAAATAAACGCTCAGATTCATTCATACTAGTCTTCAAATAATAAACCCATTAAAATAAAATAAGAGCAAAACCACAGAATAGCAATAAATAAATAAAGCCAATAAAATACATTAAAAATAAATAAAAGACACAGAGGACCACACAACTCACGCGGTGTTAAAAGCCAAAGAGTAAAGACGAGACTTAAAACACTCCACTGTGGGGGCTGTTTGGACGTGGGGGGGCGGAGTGTTCCAGTGCCCCCCCTCATTTTTTTTTTTGTTTATTGCGCTGAAAAACTCCTTACTGTGAGTGGGCTTGCATCGTCACAAACCTGACTCTGACTCCTCCTGCTTGTTTCCATGGTAATATTGTTTGTTATAATATTCCACAGTATGGCAAAACTATCTCCATGGAGAATATTCTGCAGTATGGCTTTAACTTTGTATTTCCATGGGATCATACAGGATTTTTCCACCTCCAGAAAGTTACATATTATCACTTTAAAGAGAAACCACAAGTATAGCTAACGTTATTATGAGTAAATAGAATGTAAATGTGTCTTGGAACTTCTCCAAATTTACATCCCTACGAGTGCTTTGAGGTCCGAGGGTCACCTCCAGCTCATGGTGCCTAAGACGAGACTTAAAACCGGGGGGCGGGGTCTTCTCTGTGGTCGTCCCCAAGCTCTGGAAGACTCTGCCCCCCCACAGTGGAGTGTTTTGGGTCTCAGTCCAGTGAGGTTCATTTGGTCTTCCGATAATTTATGTTATTAGGTTCTTTTTTCAGACCAAGAGTTTGTTTTCGTACCTAACAGTTTGGACTGTTCCTCAGAGTGGTCACGTGATATTGTTGTGACATATCCGGTCAGCTGATTTATACAGATTTTGGCGCTGTCTTCCTACCGGCGGAGGCAGGACGACAGCGCCATCTGCAGTCCGACTTCCTCAGGACAGTATCCCAGGTGTGTGAGAGTAAAAAAGCCCCCTCGTCCCGGTTTATAGTCCCATGGGCACAATTCCGCTTATGAAAATAAAACTCTTGGTCTGAAAAAAGAACCTAATAACATGTTTTAGGTTTCGTCTTAAGACACACTTTTACTGTCTAACTTTTAACACCACGTGAGTTGTGTTTTTATTTATTATTTAGTTTAAATGTATTTTATTTGATCAATTTTATTTATTTATTGCTATTCTGTGTTTTTTCTTTTATTTTATTTTACTGATTTTATTGTTTTTAAGACTAGTATGACTTTTTTTTTTTTTTATTATTGTGGTTATTAGTATGTATTTGTGCAGAGTTTATGAAAAGTGCTATATAGATAAAGTGGTTTGGATTGGTAAATTATTATAGAATTCATCCAAATCCAGCTAAATGATGGAAAATGAAAATGCGTCATCACTTGTAGAAAAAAGGGGAAAAAAGGACATATCAAGCATATCATATTTTAAAACATCTTATCTTACAATTGTGTACTGCTAGTCTAAAAAGAAATGATAACCTAAGATAACTAGTATACGTGTAACAGGATTCCTCCAAGAACATTATGCAGCCTTGCTCATCTGCAGTCTTGCATAAATTACATAGAACTACACAGCCCTGGAAACAAAATGGCTGTTTTATTCATTAGCAATGCACTTTCACATTGCCTACTGACTGTTCTACAAAAGTACTAGTCTAGGGTGACCAGATCTTCAAAATCAAAAACTGGGTCACCCTTCGTTTGGGTTGGTGCTATTAAAATTGTGAAAAAATTGCGTAATTAAGGGAAACTGTTGCGCGCTCGTGACATGTGAGTCACTATGATCACATTTTATTTGTGTTTTGGTCATTTTTAAGCATTATTTTCTGTATTTTGCCTAAACAAATGACAATTTATGCCTCTCTTTACTGTTGGCAGGGATCAGATTGGTCAAAAATAGGGACACCTGGGCTTTTCTTGTATAAAGCTGAGACAAATCACTGGTTTTGGGTAAATCTGCTGGGACAGGAGATACAGGGCTCAAAACTGGGACTGTCCCGGGTAAATAGGAATGTCTGGACACCCTATACTAATCAAGACCCCAATATAGGGTGACCAGACTTGGGTTGGGTTGGTTGATGTAAATAAAATAGTGAAAAGAGCACGTAACATTGTCCATTCTCGACTCATTTGTGGGTCCTTTATAATTAGTCAGTACTATTTTCAGTTACTGTTTTCTGTGTTTTAACTTAACAAATGACAATCTATTCTCCTCTTTACTGTTGGTGTATAACAAATTGGTCAAAAATAGGGACAGTAATCAATAAATCATGATATTTTTGATTGCATTTTTGTTCCTGTAAGCTCCTCTGTTCTTGTAAATAGTTTAGTGTTTCTTTTTCGTTATATACCAGAAATTGAAAAGATCACATTTGAACTGAAAATCTTTAATTTGTAAATATTTGGTCTTTCCAAATAAACATAAAGTGAAAAAGTAGTTTTCTATAAATATGCTGAGACACAGGGCTCAAAACTGGGACTGTCCCAGGTAAATAGGCACATCCGGTCACAATACCCCAATAACATCACAAAACCGCAAGGTCAAATTTAGGACATCACCGTGTTTACCTCATGCTGAACCAGCGGCTAACCGCTAACCGCTAACGCCTCGCCGAAAACGCTCATTTATAAAACCTAGAATGAATCACACGACGCTACGCGGGCGTCGAAAGCGGCTAGGTCTTTTGGGTTCTTTCGACATTTTCTTCCTGCCTTGCCTGTCGCTAACAATTACCCCTGAACTCTCCTGCAGGAACCCAACACGCTAACACAAACCCCACCCCGTTAGCGCGTAGCATCATTCCTCATCCTTAGCACGTAGCATGATGGGGAGAGGAGAGAGGCGTGAATCCGAAGTCGGGTTTTCTATAAATAACCGCTTTAGTTCTGCGGTTTCACACATAAAAGCTGTTCTCGACTCAGGAGAGGTGTTGCTAGGCAGAACAGTTAAAGGGGCCCCGTCACTCCAAATGAAATAAAATACAAAATAGTCGCCTTACGTCTGGCGGTGTCACGACCTCACTTTAGCGCGTCAAAGTTAGCATCTTCATTGCGATGGCAGGCGCGGTTCATCCTTTTTTACACGCTTGTCTCCTTAGATAGCAAGTCTCAATACGCGCGGCGTGCTAGCTATTACCGCGACGTAGCCGGTTCATTAGGATTCCCTCCTTGTTGTCATCTTGATTTCGTTGGAAAGAAATAAATGTGAACTTTGGTGTGATTTTGAGATTGTGTTTATGGAATGTTGTGGTTTTTCGTTACAGGTTGGAATGAGCTGCTGATAGCTTCGTTTTCGCACCGGTCGATAGCGGTGAAAGACGGGATTCTCCTGGCGACCGGACTGCACGTGCACCGGAACAGCGCCCACAGTGCCGGCGTGGGAGCCATCTTTGACAGGTCAGACAAAGAAACGGGATTAGAGCAGCAGGAATTTACATATTGATACTTTGCAGTGACGTTACGCTGGGGGTGTTCTACATGCATCTCTGTTGACAGTTACAATGGTGACACACTGCACACAAAATGAATGAATTAATAAAGAAATTATTATTAGTAGTAGTAGTATTTTAATAAACCCATATTACGCTATTTTCAGATTTTTTATGTTTCCTCATGACAAACAGACCTGGAGTTGTGTTTTGTTTCATTCACATACTCTATGTTTAACACACAAACCTGCATATTTAGAACTTTTTCTCTCATGTGGAAAACACTCCACTGTAAACAGTTACTCCACTGTGTTTTAAATTCCATACACCTTCACTAAAATAATCTGGATGATTTCAGACCTGGAATTTCCAGTCTTTACTGAAGTAAAGGTAAAAAGTAGCTATTAACTTGAAAACATTGCAATGTGTAACAGAGCATTTTAAGCTTTGGAAATGTAGACAAACTAATATTAAAAGATTACTCAAACATGAGTGAATGAAACAAAACACAACTCCAGGTATGTTTTTGATGAAGGAGTCCAATATGGGACCTTTACAGAAAGTAGACCAAATATGTCAAACTCCAGCCCGTTGGCCAAATGTGACCCACAATATAATTATATTTGGCCTGCGAGACCATATCAAACATGTATTAGAGTTGCCCGCTGGCTATAGATTACAGGTACAAGCTATAGAGACATTATTTATTAAAATTTTCGTTATTATTTTATATTTTGCTTGTTCTGGATTCAGTGTTTAAGCAAAACTATATTTATTAAACATTTATTTTAATAAGAAAAAGTTTAACATTACATATCTCGAAAGAAGAGAAAACATGCAGATGTTGTTGTGAAATTTTTCAGTAAATATTGGCCCATTATGAATTTTGGCCCTCTGTGAAGTTGAGTTTGACACCTCTGAAGTCGACCACCAATTAGGGTGACCAGAATTTTAAAATAAAAAACTGAGAAATCCCAGGTTTTTGGTGATTAATAATAAAATTGTGAAACGAGTGGAAAATTGTTCTGAAGAGACCATTCATGACTAACATGTGAGCCAGTATAGTCACATTTACTTTGTGTTTTGGTGATTTTTAAGCTTTTTTTTTTTTTTTTTTTACAATGTATGCCTCTCTTTACTGTTGGCAGGGATCAAATTGGTCAAAAATAGTGACATTTCTTATATAAAACTGGGACAAATCATTGGTTTTGTATAAATCTGCTGGGACAGGGAACACAGGGGTCAAAACTGGGACTGTCCCGGGTAAATGGGATGTCTGGTGGTCACCCTTCTAACAATATTTTGCCATGAAAATCAATTAACCTTGACTAAATTTTGTTATCAATCCAACAATAACTGCCAGGTCGGCAAAATTACAAAATTATCTCAGCAAGCGTTTTAATACAGACAACTTATAGCAACATTTGAATCCCTCTCTGCTCCATTCAAATCACCTACTAACTGAAAAGAACTCCAGTCATGGTGTAGCTGGCCTGTTTCTCTATTGAATTAGAAAGAGCTAAGTGCTGCCATTGACTTTACTATGAGTTGGCGGTTGCAGGGTGACCGGGTGAGCCAGGGGTGACGCAGAGGTGATGCAGGGGTGATCCAAGGGTGAGGAGTTCGTGTGGCACCCATAGAGCGTGACGTCACCCTCAGACAGTACCACGCGGGTTGGGTTTCAGCCTATATTTACTCTGCGGTCTTTCTCTTTTTACAAGCCCCGCTGCTAAAAATAATGAGTTTGAAAGCTTGTTAAGGATGTTTTTTGTACATAACTTTGTAGGCCTGAAATATGTTTGTGTAGATTTTAAATAGAAGGGATGCAGAGCGGTGGTTGAAGCGTATTAAAAATGTCGGTCGGGGTTTGGGTAATTAAAACGTTTGTTAGCAGTAAAAGCGTGCCTGTGGTTTCATGTGAAAGTGGTACGGAGTTTATGGAGTTTGGAGGAAAAAAGGTCAAAGAGAACACGAAAGTACATGCATGTTGTTAACTGCTAAATGTATTCAGTTGCATTCGGTGTTTGCAAGCACATTCGAATTCTGACAGTTGCAGAAAATGTGGAAAAGTAAAAAATAATTGAAAGGAGAAAATTGAAAAGTAAAAAATAATTGAAAGGAGATTAAAATTATCGCAAAAAAATAAATAAATAATAGGAAAAAGTACAACTCCAAGCAACAAGATCTACATTTACCCAAAGTGATGCCAAGAATCGGATGGTTGTGATAAAGTAAAAAAAAATAAAAATAGAAACATTATCAATATATTGTAGAGTAAATAAACCTTGAAAAAACAGGATGAAGGTCAAATTTTTGATCACATTTCATCATTCAAAATATAGTATGTTTTGCTCTAAGTTGTTCATTGCAATGGCAACAATTGTACATTTTTATCCTGATACCAAATACTTAAAAATGCACTGTGTATCTTTTCTGGTCTGTCACCTGCTTGTCTATATGGACATGTTATTGCTTTGCCTCAAATGTTACACAGTATACAAGAAAACACTGTGTCGTCAGCCTTTTTGGTAGACAAAAAGCGTCCGTATCAACAAGTCAACATCGACATTGTCAAAAGTTATCGGCCAACAACATCATCAATCGTCATACAACAGTACAACATCAACATCGTCCACAGTTATCGGCGAGTTTTAACTTTTCAAAGTAACGTTTTTCATCCTCAGCATTCAGTGACTTAGATGAAGTCATGTCAAAACAATTAAAAGCAAAACCTACTTCAAAATAAGGCGAGTTATCTCATGACAGACATACACAATGCAACTGTCAACACAAACAAGCAACCTGACTGACTTTTTGCCTACCAGCCACTGCGGATGTAAACAAAAGCAATGTTTTCTCATATTGCATTAAAGTCTAAAATGTATTACTTTATATGTCTTTTAATTGAAAAAATACCTTCAAAACATGCATTCTGACTGTTACTGGGGTCACCGCTTCCCAGAACTGACCTGTAACTTGGCCTTGTGATGTCCCCATGGAGATATACTAGTTTATTGGAAGCCCATTAGAGTAGAACATTCCAGACCAAAGCAATAGCATTTCTATCTATAGATACAAACAGGTGATGGACCTGCATGGCCAAGGTATGAATGTCTCTCTCCACTCTTCATACTCTTGCAAACTGCTGAACTACCCCACCCAACAAATCCTACATGCCAAAAAGAAAATAAATTCTTCAAAAAACATTCCAGCGGCTAAAATAACTGAACTAAAACAGTCCCTTTTCGTGAACTGACACTTTGTTTTGTCTTTCTTCTCAGGGTGCTTACCGAGCTGGTGTCCAAGATGAGGGACATGCAGATGGACAAGACAGAACTGGGCTGCCTGCGAGCTATAGTGCTCTTCAACCCAGGTAGCTATGGCGACCAGCGCTGCATTCACACGCCTCGGTGAAAAGCATGGAAATTAGAGGTGTCAAAGAATCCAGAGAACCGCGCTCGGCTTTGAACTCCACTTTGAACAGGTTTATATAAAGCGGAGAAATATATTGTGACGTGCTGATCATATAGATGCGGGGAGGAAATGTAAAGGTGAACTTGCGGAAAGTTCAAGTGAAGGATTATTGGTCGTTTTTTTTGTTTTGTTTGTTTTTCTTCAAAAGTCGACAAATTCTGCAGGTTATTGAGAACTAGAAAGATTGAAGGACCACCACCAACCTTTTTTGGATGATCCAGACAGGAATTGGAAGCGACCATAGGCTGTGTAAAGACGTGAAATAAGGGAGTGTGACATCATCCATAGCGTTCAGCTCCAGTCAAATGAAGCTCACTGAGGCCACCCATTATAGGAGCATTTGGAGCCGAGTTATATATTAGGAATAGGAATTTATTTATGGACAAAACAATGAAATAAAAACACCAGAATCATGTGAATATGAACATTTTAAAACCAAACTGAGGAGCCTGACAGCAGCAGTTACAGAAAGAGGGGTGACATTTTTCGACATAAAGTGATGTGGAGCCATAGTCGATGGAGCCGGAAGAGTTTGCATGCTCAGTTCCTTTTTGGAAGTAAAATTTCCATTTTGATTTCTAATTTAAGAGTTTAAAGGGACTGCAGAGACTAAACAGCTACGTGGTAATTAGTGTGCATAAGGTAGTTGTTTTAAGTCCAAAATGCAAGGTTCAGCAAAATGTTTTTAAAAAGTTCCAGTTTATAAAGTTTCAGAAACAGATTTTAAATTAAATTTCATTAGTTACCACTTATAAAGCCCTGATTAACCCTGAGTAAGCTTTCAAATGTTTAAAATAAATATATAAATATCAGTCTCTGGGAAAAATGAATGAGAAATGTACTTTCAGAACCGGGGGTGGTCGCTGTTGAGTACATCAAGGCCCTGAACTTTGCTTTGCACTTTGTTAGCATGTTGCGTGTTGATGAAATTCGTGTCAGAGTCCATGACACTATAGTCTAATCATGCCTTTGAAATGAGCAGGCTTTGTGCCAGGAGAGTGGATGTTTACAGCGACCATCACGCAGACTTCCCCCTTCCACATAGGCCCAAAGGGGGGCTTGGTGGGGCACTGGGTTCATGGGACGAGCTCTGGATGTGATACTGAAACTGAAGATTGACTAACAACATTCTATTCTAACCATAGACTGGATACAGAAGTGTGATGTTATCCATAGCATTTGGCTTCAGTCAAGTGAAGCTCATAAGGCTAGCAGTTATAGGAGTGAATTTGGAGCCAAGTTCCACATTAGGAATCGTAATTCATCCCTGATACAACCAGTCAGCAATAGGGCTGGGTATTATTAAGAAGTTGCCGATACGATACATACCTCGATACACAGGCCACGATACGATACATATCTCGATACAGTGCACTTTCGATTTGATATGATATATTTCAAATCGATTCGATACGGTTCAATAAAAAATAAAGGCTAAATCATGGCTGTAATACTAAAAGGCTTTGTTAAATTACTTCTTGTGCAAATTTCATATGAAAACACAAACATTTTAATCATTGGAACAGTAAAAATGTCAAATGTGTCACATAAATGAGTTTCCTTTCACTCCACAAGCAGCAAAACTGTAGCTCTGTAACAAAATAATTTAGTAAAACACACCTAAAAATACTCTTGGTAATATATCGATACAGTAGCCCACGATATCGATACTGTATCATCACATTAAATGATACGATATATCGATATTCCGATATTTTTGCAAACCCCTAGTCAGCAATCATGTCTTACCTTTATGCATGTAGGCAATTTAAAATGAAAATTACACCAGCAACCTTCTGTGGAGTAGAATATGGGGCCATTTAAACCACCCCTGAGCTTGAACAGTGCTTGCTCTAACCATTTAGCCAATGTCAATCCAAAGGTGTTTCAAATCCACACGTGTCTTTTGAAACCTATCACCAAAGTGTCCAATCCCATGAAGCCTGCTGCTAAACTTCTGACCTCCACCGTGACCTCTTCCACCATGACCCCGCGGTTCACAGACTGGTCCTGGCCTTAAAACGGTTCAACTCAGGCAACCCCGGCTCTGTTCATACTAACCCTCTGTCCTCCCTGCCCCGACTTCATTAGAGGTTTACCAGACCAGACCGTCCATGGACTGGCTCCTCTCAAAAGCCCCTCAGTCCTCCCCTTTTCCCACACCATCCTGTTCCGGACCATTCCCCAACATTAGCGTCCACTCATTGTTCGCTAATTGTGCAGCGAGATACTAACCGATGACGTGTTTGTGCGCTTAATTGGAGTTGAGTCGTTAGGAGGAGGGGGGACTAGATTAGAAGACTTAATTGGTCTAACCCGGAATGCAGTGACACACGTCCAAGCACTGTTCTGTATAAGGGTTAAAATTCAACTTGTAAGCCGCTGTTGTTGCTGTTCATTGAGAATATTAGATGTTTTTGCTGATGTTGTGAGTTGGGTTGTGTTGCAGATTCCAAAGGGCTGTCCAATCCCAGTGAGGTGGAGGCGCTCCGAGAGAAAGTCTACGCGTCTTTAGAGGCCTACTGCAAACAGAAGTACCCCGAGCAGCCGGGCAGGTGGGTCCAGTTTTATATTACTTCAGATTGAAAATGAAAAAACAAAATACATTTAAGCAGTGGTGGAACTAAAAGTATTAAAGTGCTGTACTTAAAGAGCCCATATTATTATTATTATTTATTTATCTATCTATCTACAGGTGTTATTATTGCTCAAAAATAGTGGCCTAAACAGCTTGTATCCATGGGGGAAAAAATGACTATACTTAAAAGTAAAAGTGCACCAAGTTACATTTTGGAACTTTTAACCCCGTACGAGCCTCCCGCAGCCTTACCTCCTTGGGCAGGTCCCTGTGGCTGTTCCAAAGTCCAGGCTCCGGACGAAGGCTGATGGAGCCTTTTCAATCTAGGCACCTCAGCTTTTGAACGATCTGCCTGAGGAAATAAGGCTCACACCATCAGTATCAGCTTTTGAATCACTTTTTGAGACTCATTTTTAACAGTTTGCCTTCCTGTTCCTTCCGGGTTTAGCTTAATTTTATTCTTTATTTATTTTCATTCTATTTCTTTTTATTTCTTATATATATATATATATATATAATTTATTGGATTGTTTGCACCATTGTCTGTTTTTGTATGCCTTCTGCATGCTATTTAATTTTTTTTTTTGTATTGTTCTTTGCTGCTTGTACAGCATTTTTTAAACCTTGTTTTTAAAAGTGCTTCATAAATAAAGATTTATTAAGTACCCATTTAAAAGTATAGTTTAAGATAAAAGGTATTTTGGACAGATTTTGATATGTATTAAGGTCTCAAATGTACTGATTTCGATAAACGATTGTATTGACTTTTGTGCAACAGAAACAAGTGAACTGATTTAGAATTTTTCATGCACCTGCTCTCAAAAGCACTGCAATTAAATTTAAAAGTATCCACATTAAATTCCACTAAAAAGTAATGTATTGATATAAAAAAAATACTGCAAATACTTTCCACCCCATTTCCATAGACACAAGCTGGTGACGAACCCTCCACCAGAATAGTTTCACAGTGCAACTTTAACATACCCAACCAGCTAATGTACTGGTATTGAAAAATATACCAATTCTAGAAACATGACATTCAAAATATTTTTTTTTTCTTCAAATGAATAACCATGTAACAGCTGTTGAACCTCCTCACCTCACGTCTCACCACTCCCTTCGTCTCCTTTGTTTGTTTGTCAGGTTCGCCAAGCTGTTGCTGCGGTTACCGGCCCTGCGCTCCATCGGCCTCAAGTGTCTGGAACACCTCTTCTTCTTCAAGCTCATCGGGGACACGCCCATCGACACCTTCCTGATGGAGATGCTCGAGGCCCCTCACCAGATGACATAATGACCCCACCGCGACCCCACCGCAACCCCAGCGCTGACCCCACTTCCTGCCTGCCCTTTGAACTTTGACATCCCACAAGGCTTCGGACTGGGACCCATCCTTTTTAGAGCCTTCGTCGGTGGGACATATCGAGACAATTTTGGATGGATTTTTTTTCATTAATTTTTTTTTCGCAATTTCTCTCTTTGCAATGAAATCATAATGTCTACAGCTCGGTTTTGTACAATATATAAATAAGAAAATATATATGAAATCATGACGAAAAACATTGACGGATCGAACGTTGAGCCATTATTTGGAAACTTTCTTACAAATGTACTTGTGCGCAGGTTTTCTTCAGCGATGATGTCACAAATTGGTGATCGGACAATCGTGAACTATCTTGAAAAACTTGGATCCTTTCAGAATAAAAAAAAATTAAAAAACAATTTGAGAAGGGAGGAAATTAACATGAATTTTGAAAACTACAGGTCTGCTTTTGAGGAATTTCTCAACAACACGTCTTGCACTAGCTGTTTTCGAAGCTTTTTTCACTCAATTGGGAGGTGGATTTTAACAAGACTGCAAGTACGCAAAAAATGAAATTGAAAAAAATCCTCAGGTCTCTGCCCGGGTTTCAATAATGACCATGTCTTACTGGAATAGCACTGTGTAACTCCAGACAGAACGTGGAGTTTCAATCCAGACTGTGGATTCAAAGCGTTTGAGCGATGGGATGTTTGGAAGGCTCGTACAATCTGAACCTAGACTTAGCTTTATTCCAACAAAAACTACCAGCAAGGAACAACTGTGGTCATCGACGTTTTGAGACATTTCCTCAAGGGATGGTTGGGGCTCTGAAGTCGGGTTGTACAAGGTCATTGTAAATAGGGATTTGGATGAAGTGGTGGATCATGATTAGTTCAAGAGATGGAACTTTTGTGTCTTGAAAATCATGTGACCAAAACTAGTGTGCATGAAATCTTGGACAATCAAAAGTAACTGAAATCAGACTTCTGGTAACTTTGGTTGGTCATTTTGAGTCAGTTTAACTCCAGTCGATATGAGTTTAGTAAATGATTAGCCAATTTGATTCTACTTCCCCAGTACTCCCCAAAAATTAAGAACAATTTGCATCGAAGTGTTATTTGATCAGTATTAAGAATGTCACAATTGAAGGCAGTCTCGCTTCATGGTAAGATCCAAGGTTTGATTCCTGGGTCACCCTGGGCTCTCTTTGTGGAGTTTGCATGTTCCCCCTGTGTCTGGGTGGGTTTCCTCCAAGCACTCTGTTTTTCCATCAACCCAAAACATGCTTGATAGGACAAACCCTTGAACTAAAGACCAGGATCTTGAGCTAGTCAAGATCTGGAGATGGGTCCCCGGGTGTGGCACCACAACGCCCACTGCTCTTGACAGGTGTCTCAGCAGCAGTGAAAGATGGCTCAAAGTCAAGAGGACAAAGTTTTACAAAGTGTATCTTCACCTTAACAATGTACAGTCAAATTATTATTGTTTATCACGAAATATTAAAGAAAGAAGTCAGAAAAAAGTGTCATTTCAAACAGATTTTGATGCATTATGTTATTAGGTTCTATTTTCAGACCAAGAGATTGTTTTCGTACCTGACAGTTTCGACTGCTCACTAGCGGTCCTCCTCAGAGTGGTCACGTGGTGTTGCTGTGACGTGTCCGGTCAGCTGATTTAAACAGGTTTTGGAGCTGTCTTCCTACCGGTGGAGGCAGGATGACAGCGCCATTTGCAGTTCGACTTCCTAGGGACAGTATCCCAGGTGTGTGAGAGTAAAAAAGCCCCCTCTATTGGCTTATAGATTTTGATGTACTTTGAGTCCTATCTTGACATAGACAGTACATTTTTGTTTACACTGTTTACAACCAAATGTACAACCCAACTTCAGAAAACCCTGAACCATTTCTTTGTTATGTAAGTGTATTTCGCAGCCCTTGTTTAGCATTGTTGTATTGTTCTCATTGGCCTGTACGCTCCTGTCCTCTTCTGATGTCCGCACTGTCTTTAACTGTCCACACACGGTGACCTCTACACGACCTCTACACATACCTCCTCATACCTGTACAATGACCTAGACAGTATTCAGTATTCAAATGCACAGATACCTCTGTTTCAAACTCACCGTGCAATGCAAATTCATGGAGAAGTCATTCATTTCTTGGCACTTAAAGGTCCTATATTATGCTTTGTCAACTTTCAGATTTTTTTGGTCATTATACTGTTTTCTTATCAAAATCATACCTGGAGTTGTGTGTTGTTTCATTTATTTCAAGCATATTCAATCAAATCTGCTTATTTAGGCTGTTGAATTTTCAAGATGGGCTTAAAACACTCGGTTCCACTGCATGATGTCATCAATTGGGGATTCAAGAAGTGCTCTTTTGGGTTTTTAAAGTCGATACACATTCACTTCTACGCAAAACTAACCAATGTTTTGCAATTTGTGCTTAAATTGCTTCACCCTTAAGTAGATAGGTCTATTGCGCCCTCTTCTGGGACACATGAAGCTTTAAATGTTTAAAGCTGCACAATGTAACTTTTTTGTTGAAGGAGCCACCAAATGTTTGTCTCCATGGAGAAGTTATTGCTTTGCCTGGAATATCCGACAGTATGGCTTTACAAGTGTTTTCATTATCCAATACCTAAAAGAAAAAACATGCACGCTATTGTGAGCAACTCTCCACAGATCTGACCTGTAAGTTGACTTGGGCATGTCACCTGCTTGTCTCCATGGCCATAATATAAGTTTAATGCTATACTATGTTTTCATTAACCAATATCTTAAAAAAACAAAAACAAAAAACATGCATTCTATTGTGAGCAGGGTCAATAATCCACAGATCTGACCTGCAACTTGACTTGGGGACATCACCTGCTTGTCTCCATGGCGATAATACAAGTTTAATGGGATACCGTGTTTTCATTAACAAATACCTAAAAAAAAAAAAAAAAAAAAAAAAAAAGCATTCATTCTATTGTGAGCAGCGTTGATTCTCCACAGATCTGACCTGTCTGACTTGGGGGCATCATCTGCTTGTCTCCATGGCGATAAAATAAGTTTAATGCCATACTGTATTTTCAATTTAAAAAAAAAACTTAAAGAAAAAACATGCATTATATTGAGAGTAAGATCGATATTCCACAGATCTGACCTGTAACTTCACTTGGGGACCTCGCCTGCTTGTTTCTGTGGTGATAAATACACTTAATGCCATACTGTGGAACATCAGGTAAAGCATTAATATCTTCATAGAGCAGATGGCATGCCCTCTGTCTGGAAAAAGTTACATAGTGCTGCTTTAAAGGTTAGAAGTTTCTTATTCATTAGAGATTATTTTAAGTTATTCAAAATGCAATATGTAAATAAAACATAATACAGGACCTTTAAACCTTAAAGGGATAGTTTGGAATTCTGGGCACAGGGCCTCATGTCCTAGTGAGCCAGAGTGTTGGAGATGTGTGGAGACACTTTTTAAAATATTTCATCCAGTTTTTGTATTTGCAGAGGTCGCTAATGCTAGGCTAGTGCATGTCAATGGCCATAGTTAGCCTGCCACTAAAAACAGTCTTACCCACTCCACAAAACACCCGAAGCAAAACTATTATTACACCAGACTGTCCATGTAAATGTCTGTGTTGATAGAATAATGTTTGAAATAAAACTCATCTTGGATCACATAAATCGTCACATGTTGAGAGACTATTTTCTCATATATCAGTCCACTGCGGCCAAGCTTTCTATCAGGAAGAACAACTCGCTGCTGCTCAGACATAAATCCTCCAAATCCTAAAATTATTCTATCAACACAGACATTCACAGCTATCGTCTGGCGTTAGAATAGATTTGGTTTGGGTGTTTTGTGGAGTGGGTAAGACTGCTTTTAGTGGCAGGCTAACTCTGGCCATTGGCATGCACTAGCCTAGCACCAGTGACCTCTGCAAATACAAGGATTGGATGGAATATTTTAAAAAGCTTCTCCACACATCTCCAGCACTCTGGCTCACTAGGAAATGAGCTATGTCCAGAATTTCGAACTGTCCCTTTAATATTTTAACCACAGAGCCCAGTCAGGAGGTTAGCATACATTTGGCTCTGTAGTTCCACCGGTACATGTTAATACGGCCATGTTATGTACAAATATGAAATACTTTGTTATGTTTTGGTTTTCACTTTCTCAAAATGCTGCAGCCGCCCTGAATCTATGCATCCAGAGCATTTCCAAAGAGTGTTTTTAGAGTGATGCGTTCGGAACATGGAGAGAGAAATGAATGGGGGGATGATTTGAGACGATAAGAAGTAAAAGTGAACCAAGTTTTTAGAAGTCAAATTACAACTTTTTACCTGACTAGAATACATGAATGTTATGTTCCTCGACAATATGTAATGATTTGGAATAGTTATAGCAGTAGATGGTGTGAAAGCAATCTGCTAACTTCAATTTTAAAACAATTTGTCACATTTTACTTAACAAAATCCACCATGAATGCATTGAAAATTACATTAAAAGTAGTTAAAATTGTAAAAAAAAAAAAAAAAAAAAAAAATCTGTAATAGACATGAGCAGTGAATTATGAGCAAACATGACACTATTTACAATTTGAATTTCTCATTAAAATCAAAATGTAACTTTTTTTTAGCGAACAAAGAAAACAAAACAATTATTTGATATGAAATTCAAAGTTTGTCGTCAGAGTTAAATTCTTCCTTTGAAAAAAAAAACTAAACAAAACAACAAAAACAAAAAAACATAAACACTTGCATAATTTTACATTCATACATTCAAGATAATTTTGCCAGCTAGGAATTTCAGTACCACTTTAGTTTAGGTACCACATATTAATAGCTAATTTAAGTGTTAATTGCTTTGTTAATGAGCTCATACTTAGCTATTAGTTGGTATTAATAAAACACTTATTAATGCTTATTAAGATTTTGGTGTATGCACAAAACATCTATTGTAATCTCCGCTACTTTAATGGGAAGAAAATAGTTAATGAGTTAGTACTCGCAAAATGCAAAAAAAACCAAAAATGCATTGAAAGTACTTTATAATACATAATAATAAAGATGTAATTAAGCGCTTATTATGCATTTTACTATTATAGCTATTAATATGTGGTCCCTGATCTAAAGTGTTAATGAAATTCCAAATGTTTTTAAAGAGTGGGTATTATGCAAAATCAATTTTAGTTGTTATCCATGTGAGTTTGAGTAATTTAGCGATCTGTAAGGTGTAAGGTTCTGTACAGCGCTCTCAACAATTCTCCATAAATATACAAAAATATGATACAAAACTGTACACAGCGGTAGTTTCATTATCAGGATGCACGCTGATTGTGTCGTGATAGCGCTCTGAGTGGGGAGTGATTTAGCACAGAGAGCAAAGGGAGGAGTCAAAGTATCAGAAATGAAGGTGAAAGTCATAAAAAAAAGTTAATAGGATGTTTTTACGTCAAATATAGCAGTTCCAAAACATTAAAAGGTAACACGGAGATCTAAATATGTAACGTTTTAGCAGATACTCGTCTAGAGAAGTGTAATACCTCCTCTTTAAAGAACATTTTAAGCAATGTCTATATTCAAACTAGTATTTCACTATGAATTCAAATTGAACTGTGCTTTTTTAACCTCTCTGGCCCCACTCTTTTCTGACCCCAAAAACTACCTTACACATTGGATCTGTTTTGACATGTCCTTCATATTAACTGATGGTATAACGTTACATTTGGACCCTGTAGAAATCACAGCTGTCAAATCTGACCACTCAAACACAGTCCACGTGTCAGTCAGACCTGGACATTTGAGACTAAAAAAGTACCCTCTGGGACATTTCCTGTGACAGTTCATCAGGATTAAAGAGTTCAGTCGCTGTATTCGGCAGTGGGGAGCTCCCTCTGGTGGACAGCACTAGTACTGTAACAAAACATGAGGTATAAATTGGACATGAATTCTTTAAAATTGAAGAAAAAAAAATGAATAACAGTAATTTTTTTTTTCAGTAATAAATAAATGCAATATTTCAGAGTTAGCTCACAGTGCAAATTTGAGAAATAATAAAAAAAAATGCAATGAGTTTTTGTTTTGCATAATATTGAAGGAGGGGAAAAAAACAAAACAAAAAGTAATTATATATATTTTTTTCAATAATAAAAAAAAATACATGCAAATTTTCAGGAACAAAAATTTGAGGAACAAAAAAATCTGAAATGTAATGAATTTTTGTTTTGCATAATATTGAAGAAGGAAAAAAACATGAATTATTTTAAATTGAAGAAACAAAAACAAAACAAAAAGTAATTATATATATTTTTTCAACAATAAAAAAATTGCACAATGCACAATTTCTGAGTTCACAGGGCAAATTTGAGGAACAAAAAAATCTGAAATGTAATGAACTTTTGTTTTGCATAATATTGAAGAAGGAAAAAAATTGAATTATTTTATATTGAAGAAAATAACACCAATAATATTTTTTTCCCAATAATAATAAATAAATACATGCAAAATTTCAGAATGAACTCACAGTGCAAATTTGAGGAATAAAAAAAAATCTGAAATGCAATGAATTTTTGTTTTGCATAATATGGGCCTTTTAAGTCTACAGAGATAAGAAAGTAACATTGAGTTTTACTATCTGAATTAAAGCAATAACTTGGGACATTGTCGGGAGTTGGATCATTCAGGTGACAGTATTGGCTGCCAGTGTTGACCAGTTCATTTTTGTATTAAACTGTTGTATTTGTATGTATGAAATCTTGCAGACATAATAATGGATATTCCAGCTTTGCATTTGGACAGGGTCACCCAATTTTTGCAACAGAAAACCTCCATACTGTACTGTGACTGGTGAGCCATATCTCGCAAAGAACCGACGGATAGAGACAAGACAGGACACTTACAAATGCTTTATAACCTTTAAAGCTCTATTTTGTGTATATGTAAATGTGTACATAGTTAAAAATATCTATCTGCAGATGAGTTCCTCGAGGATTTCCGAAAGAGGGAGACAAGTCTTTCAAAGACCGAACTGTCCAGAAGCGCTTGGTTTTGTTTTTTGTTTTGTTTGTTTTGTTTTTTTTTGTGAATTTTGAAATGAATTAGAGTTTTGGTTTTTTTTGTTTTGTTTTGTAAAATGGATTTCTTACAACCAGCAAATATGGCAGCACCTCTTTATAAGACTTTAAAAACCAGCATGCAGCAATCTTCTGTCAGTGTGCCCACTTGAGTGATGTGCTATGGGTTGGGTCGGTACAAAATGATTTTAATACTTTTTAGGTTAAAGATTAGTAAATTACATGCATTCCAAAGTTCCTGACCTGACTCATACTGGTTTATCTGCATATTTTAGTATATATTTATTGGAGATGTTACGCTTTCAGTAAATTGTTACCATGTTTATGACTTAGGCTACGATCAGACTGCAGGGCTTAATGCTCAATTTGGATTTTTTTGCGAGGTCGTTCGCATTTCTAATTAAATGCGACTTGTATGTGATCTCCAGTGTGAACTTTAAACGTCCCAAAAGTGTCCTGTATGCACATTGGAGGACACAATGACGTCAGCGAGCATGCTCAGTGTTTACGGAAGTCGCCTAAACGCTGGGCTTGTCTCCCAAAATACGGTCCAGTTCTTGGTAAAATGGACAGGTTACACGTCCATGGCCGCTTCGTTTGCTTGAGTCTTTAGTCTATTTGTATTTGGTCGCAGGCTCTTTGTTTTTCATTGACATTGGAGCCAGGACTGCCTGTATCCGCGCTCTGACATTTCTTTGGCAAACACTTCAAAACCCGCCCACTTCCAATAAGAGCCCTTCAATTTGACGTGAATACAACGATCCCCCCAAATATTAATTAACTAGCTAACCTCGCTTTCCCCCCATTGACTAGACTCCGAGCCGGACATGTAGGTGGGATGAACGCAACCTGGCCGTTCAGACTGAAGTCACATGTCAAAAGATCGGATATGTATCGGTTTTAGGAGCACATATCCAAGTGGGCTGGGTCACATTTGAACAAATCGGATCTGTCATTCAGACTCATTAAAAGATCAGATACAGGTCGAAAAAAACGGATTTGGGCACTTCAGGCTGCAGTCTGAACGTAGCTTTAGTCTACATTAATAACATTTAGGTTTTTTTTAACTGATGCTCAAATTTTAAGCTATTTGAAACTTAAATCTCAAATTGAATGTTCAAAGAAATTTTTATTTTTGCATCATGACTTTCCAGACATTTATCTCTCTTAACTCAATAATTTTTGTTAAGGTGCACCATATCACTTATCTGCTGTCTCCATGGCGATGTCTTTGCGTTACCTGGAATGTTCTGCAGTATGACTTTAAAATGATCTCTCTTACATTTATTCAAAAACAAGTGCTCAAAAATACCTTGAAAAACATGAATTCTTACTGTGAGCGGGCTCGCCTTTCCACAGATCAGACCTGGAACTTGACCTGTCACCTAAAAGTTTCCATGGACGTGAGATAAGTCTAATTCTGTGGAACAACATAGACAAAACATGGAGACAAGCAGATCGCGAAACAAAAATTTTGTCATGCACCTTCAGTCAAAACTGTACTAACCATAGACTGTATATATTCAAATGGACATAAATAGGAACAGGAAGTGAGCATGAACACGCTTCCGGCTCCACTGACAATTTATATTGAAAAATTGTCACCCTTCTCTCTGTAACCCACATGATCCTGATGTTATTTATTTGACTATTTTGCAACTAAATCAATTCCTATTCTTAAAACGGAGCTCCAAATGTGCTTCTATAACTGCCGGCCTCGTTGAGCTTCATTTGACTGGCGCCGAATACTACGGGCGACGTTACACTCACAGTTCATTTCTTTATACAGTCTATGGTACCAACCCATACCAGAACACTCAGTGGGCCAAATATCTCGGGACCTCATGAAACATTCAAAGTTTATAAAATGAAATAAACTAAAAAAACACGGTTGAGACTTTAAACCCTCCCAAATGTTATGTGTGGCTTACAGCAAACATTTAAAACCGTTCAGGAATTGCTGAGCTTGCGTTACAATCACTGCTTCTCTCTGTGGCATAAACGCTAAAATATTCAAGAAAAAAAATGTAAAAAAGAAAAAAAAAAACTGAAAAGGTCTATTTTTGTACAAAGGTAATTTTATCCCCGCTTATGTACTTGTTTCTTCTCTGGGCGTGTGATGCTGAGGCTTATGTTGGAGAGTGAGGGGCGGGGCCTATGAGTTGGCGCCATGGTAACCGCGGTGTCGCCTTTACTTTGTCATGTCGTTGGACCCGTCGTCGCCAGATGGGAATGTCGAGTTTCATTATAATTTTGTCTATTTTTCAAAGAGATGGAATTCTGTCTCATCTGTTCTTTGTGGTTTGTTCTCGGATGTTCTTTCATGGACATTAAATGTTATGAAAAATAACATGTGTTTGTCATTTTTCAAATTTGTTCACTAAACCAAATTTGTTGACAGTTCTGGAACTAGGGATGCAATGAAAATTTTACTCTATAACCATGACCAAAAAAACAATAGTACTGAGGGTATAATGCCAAACAAAAACAAGGGACTTTTTATCTCAAAAAGAAAGACAAATAGCCTACAGTGATGAAACTGTATGTTCCCTGTGCCAGTTACCAGCATCTTAACCTGCACATAGAGACACATCCAAGTTTTTCTCATTCTCAGTTTATGGATGGGTCATGTGCAGAGTCGGAGTCAGAGCACATCTACTGGAGGGGCGTGGGTCACCAGCAGGGGGGCACTGCCATTTGAGAAATATTTTAACGCAGTGGAGCCATACACAGCAGAAATACTATCAAACACGTTGTTCTTAAACAGTATTAGGCTAATTATGTTGTTATTATTATCATTATTATGAATATTATTATTAGCTGCAATAGGTGTTGAGGTTGTGGTAGACGATACGCACACAAGACAATAATAAAAGGTTGAGGTTTATTAAAAAAAACAATAAGGCCTGCCACTGGTTGTAAACCTTAAACAACAACCTCTCGTCAAAAACACCCCTGAACAACATCACTGAAAGAAGCAATCGGGCAAGAAATAGCCACGCATCGGACAGCACCAGGGCTGTAGTGGGCGTGGTACGCGAGGGTACACTGTCCACACACTTCTCCTGATGTGAGATGTTAAAAAAATGAAATTTTAAAAATGGTGGTATAATTTTTGGGCGGGGCACCAAGACCAAAATTATAAATATATATTATGAATATTTTGGTTACTAGTGGCTGAACTATATCAGAGCACAATGAACAGCCAAGCGCCAACTTTACACAACAACACAACGTAACACGCCGCTCACACCCAGACCCAACAACGTCAGCAAAACTACAATAAGAGGCTACGATCATAACTTGAACACAGATGCCGCTCCTACAGCACACGACAGAACAACCAGAGCAGCTCCAAAGCATCCGCCAGCTCATTTATGCACTATTTAACTATTAACACTATTTACCTGTGAGGCTCCATCTTCAGATTTGCCGCAAACTAATGAAAACCAGCCTCTTACCTTCTCCAGAGACTGAAGCAGAGTGTTTCCTCTATCCGCTGTCCCACTGGTTCTGTCTCCAAAAGTCTATTGTCCAATATGAAGAGATGAAACTGGTCCAAATCCTGGTCCAGTCAGGTCCGTGACGCGAGGTCCAAGAGCCGAGTGCACGAGCTGGTTGTAAAACTAAAACTTAATTCCACTTGCAACTTAAATCTGAAAGTTACACCAGTCCATATTAGCACCAGGACACCAGGTAGATTTATGCCTCTGCGCTACGCCCAGGACAAACTTTTACACCCAGAAACGAGCGGGCAAAGGCGGATAGACTTTATCCTCTGCCTGGCCCCGGCGGCGGCAGCGAGAGCTCCGGCCCGGTGGCAACTGTCCCAGCCCGGCAGCGACTGTCTCGGGTCCCGGCGGCGAATGTCCCGGCCCCAGCAGCGGTAGCGACAGTCCCGAGTCCCGGCGGCGGGTCTGTCAGTGTGTCTTGGACTCTCCGCTGGGGGGGCACGGCCCTCAAATGCCCCACCTTGCCGCCGACACCAGTCATGTGAAAGCTCAGAACCATTTCATGTGCAATGTTTCTGTAATAATAAATCAGCATTACAATTGGTGCCCTCCATCCATTTCTTCCTCTTTGTTTGTGTGGCAGAGGCAGCAAGAGCGTAGGTTTGCATAGGGATGGTGGGGACATGTCACAACCAATATTTGGGGAAGACAAAATAGTCCCGGCCAATATTTGCCATTTTATTTCAATAAACACAAATATAAATTTATTCAGATATTTTTCCAAACTCAGTAGTATTAACTGAGCACATTTTAGTTCAGATTGTTTAATAGACATTGTGAGATGTATTCAGTGATATGATGACAGGGTTACCCCTGCCGCTATTTCATTGGCTGCAACAGAGTGATGTCATTAGTGGAGCCAGGAGCCTAAAACTGGGGAAGAGGCAGGACAGGGCCACACCTGAAGATGTCGGCTTGAGCAGCATGAGTGAAGATGCTGCGCACCAAGCTTTGAAAAACTTTTCAAAGGAAGTTATTTAACTTAATCTTCAATTAAACTTGCCTTGTAATGAGTCGCCGCAGAAAAAGAGCGACTATGTGCACCTCCCAAACGGAGCCCTACTCTACTGACAATATTCAGGGGGCTGAGACCAAACCTATACCCCTGAGAGGCAACATTCCAAGCAGGGATGTCCAGACTTCCCTCTCTTCCGCTGGGATCCCAAGCTGTACCCAGGCTAACTGAGACTCTCCAGCATGTCTTGGGTTCTCCCTGGGGCCTTCTCCCAGTGGGATGTGCCCGGGACATCTCCCCAGGGAGGCGTCCAGGAGGCATCCAGAACAGATGCTCTGGTCACCTCAGCAGCAGCTCTACTCTGAGCTCCTTCTGTGTGATTGAGCTCCACACTCTATCTCTAAGGGAGCTCCCAGCCACTCTGTGGAGGAAAATAATTTCGACCTCCTGTATCTGACTTCATGAGCATAGGTGAGAGTAGAAGCACAGATTTAAACCAAGATAATAGGTGAGAATACATAAGATGCAGAATTAATAAGACATTAACTGATTCTTCGATTGTTATCTAATGTCCTGATTGTGATTTACATATTTATATGTGATAGTTAATTTAAGTGTTTAACAGTTATTCATAAGCTGATTATATGTGCTAATTCTGTGACAGTTATTTTCATTTAGTAATATGATTTTAATGTTCCTATAGATAACCAGATGGAAGGATAGGACAGATGAAAGGTACATTAACACAGAGATACAAAGATACAAGAAAGATCTTTCTTGTATCTATATAAGAAAGATACAAGAAAGAGCATTAAAACTCCTCAAATTCACTCTGGTCAGTCTTCACTCTCTGATTGGAGTATTGTTTGGAGTGTCCCAGTACATCACATCACCGTCTACAGTCCAAGATATCAAGATATAGACTGAGCGGTAAGTGAAGAGCTTTGTCTTTGGACTCATCTCCTTCACCACAACAGTCTGATACAGCGACTACATCACTGCAAACACTGCACCGATCTAACTGTCAATCTCACACTCCATGCCAATTGTTACCAGTAAATTTGATCAAAACATGTTTACATCATATCTGGGGACACAGTTTGCTCATGTTTACGGAATTTAAAATCTCACTCACGCTTCCTTCAATATTAAAAATGTTAAACAAACCTACACCTCACTTAATTTAAAGAAAGCAAAAAGCCATATATGAAACCCAATCTTCTCTTCACCTCTTCATGCGATTGTAAAAGAAAATATGAGTTTAAAAATGGTACGGTCTACTGTAGCAGAGTATCAAAAGAACACAATGAGTCCGTTTTCTAACATAAAACGTACAAAAACGTGTTTATTAAGTCACAGGTTGTAGCTGTTAAACATATTCCAAAAAAAAGAAAAAAACTGTCCAACTACATACAACAGAGGTTGGCTTTGTGCAGAAAACTAATGAGCTGAACTACTCGAGCAGAAGAGGAGGGGGGGAAAACAAAACCACAATACAATATAATGGAGTATGTACAAAAACTTCAACATACAAAACAAAATTCTACTGGTTTACTGACATTTTATTTCACTGTACTGGGTTGGTTTCAAATAAGGGCTGCGCGATATATACTTTTAAAAAAAAGCTGTATTTGATTTGATATTATACTGTAACTCTAATTAATTCATTTATTTACAAACCAAGATCTGTCAAAACCCAAACTTGACCCAAACCAAAAGCAGTCTAAAGTTCACCATGTAACTTTTCTACTAGAAGGTTTGGCCTGGAAGTATCCACAGTACAGCGTTAAACTTCTCAATTGCCATGGAGACAAACATTTAGAATGCCAAGTTACAGGTCTGATCTGTGGAGAAGCGAGTCCAGTCACACATTAAAGGGACAGTTCGCAATTTTGAACATAGGAGCTCATTTCCTAGTGAGCCAGACTGTTGGAGACGTGTGGAGACGCTTTTTTAAAAAATCCATCCAGTCCTTGTATTTGCAGAGGTCGCTGGTGCAAGGCTAGTGCATGTCAATGGCCATAGTTAGCCTGCCACTAAAAACACTTCACAAAGCACACAAAGTAAATTTACTATTACACCAGACTGTCGATGTGAATGTCTGTGTTGATAGAATCATGTCTGAAATAAAACTAATCTTGCATCGCATGAATCGCCCAATGTTGAGGGACTATTTTCTCATATCAGTCCGCCGCTGCCAAGATTTCTATCAGAAAGTACAACTCACTGCTGCTACTCAGACATAAATCCTTCAAATGCAAGGTTGGTTTTACTTCTAAAATTTTTCTATCAACACTTACATCGAGAGACTGGCGTTATAACTGTTTTGCTTCGGGTGTTTTGTGGAGTGGGTAAGACTGTTTTTAGCGGCAGGCTAACTATGGCCATTGACATGCACTAGCCTAACACCAGCGACCTCTGCAAACACAAGGACTGGATGGAATATTTAAAAAGAGTCTCACTAGAAAATGAGGCCCTATGTCCAAAATTCCGAACTGTCCCTTTAACACACATTGTTTTTTTTCCATCTTAGCAACGAAAACATCTGCAACTGACTAAAATGCGAGACAGTTTAATGCCGTACTGTGTGACATTCCAGGCCAAGCATTAAAGCGGACCTATTATGTGAAATCAATTTTTTAGAGCTTTTTTACGCTCATTTAAATTTGTAAAATGTCCAAAATATAACAATCCACAGGTGTCATCGACTATAATAACTATGTAGCAGACAAACACAATAGGTCTTCAACATCTCCAAACAGACAAAAATTGAGAAAAACGTTACGTAGTGCACCTTTAATCGCTCCTTATTCTTAAAGAGGGGGTATTTTACTTCTATGGGGCAATAATTAACTGTTAACACTTAACATATTTAGGTAAACATACGGTTATAGTTTGTATTTTTAAAAGCACTATATTCACCAAAAATAACATATTAACACGTATGAGCCCTCCCTTTGCTCTCCGCGCTAAGTCACTCCCCTTTCTGAGCGCTGTCATGACAAAATCGGCATGTATTTGACAGAATAGGGCCTGGGAGAGATCACTACATTAATCAAACATGCACGGAAACAACTTGAGGCATGTTTTTGACGAGGGAACAACTTTATAACATGGTGTAAAACTGAAAAAAAAAGGTGATTTTGAATACCCCCTCTTTAAAATGGCCAATATTGTGATCGTTTTTCAATATACTGCGCAGCCCTAATTTGGATTTTTTTTCTTTCCCGTAATCGCCAGCTCAAACTGTGAAATCCTTGCGTGTCTCGGAGCAGCCCGTGTCCTCGCTTTTACCACCGAGCGAATGCCTTTTTCATAAGCGCGGACATTAAAAATACAACCGCGCGCTCTTGCTTTGAGGAGAACACTTGGATGGGACCGCTTCAATAAATAAAAATTTGAAAGCTGGCGACCACGTTTTCAGAAATTCTAAATGGCAAAGTTGCGATGTTGTTCGTGAAGCCAAGCTGACAATGCAATACAATACAGTTAGACAGGTAAGACAAGCCAGAGAACCATTTGATGCACTGTACAAGAGTGAAAAAGCATGAGTTATTGTTTCAGAGTTAACTTAAAAGCGCTGTGTAACTTTTCTAGTGGAGGGCCCGCGACGCCTCTCTCTCGTCTCCATGGAGATTTTGTAGCTTTTCCATGGCCGAATCAAGTTTTTCCAAAGTATTTTACAGCGATAAAACCAGCCATAATGGAGTAAATGCTAGATTATATTCCAACGAGAAAAGTTACACAACGCAGCTTTAAAGTGCATATGACAGGTTTTCATTTTTTTGTGTTTGATTTAAATTTTTTGTAATAAAGATAATTAATTCAGTGGGATAACTGTGGTAAATATGTATACGCAAGGCAAGTGGCAGTTCGTGAAGGAAAGAACAAAAAAATACAAGTTACAGGAAATACAAGAAGTAGTGCTGTTTTTTAAAAAAAATGTAGATAGATCGTTGGAAGCAGGAGACACAGGTTTTCATTTAAAACACAACAATTTACGTGCAACACTGAAGTTTTTTTTTTCCATTTAAAAATGTATTTTTAAAAAAGAGCCATCGTAGGCCAAAAAATATATATTTGGTATATAGTGTAAATGTGTGTGTTTCATTGTTTACAATAAAGTATGATATACAGGTAACAGTGGAAGAATTCCCTCTTTTTTTTGGACCACATCTGCTTCCAATTTCCAATCAGGAAATACAATTAAGTCAAAATAGATGTGGTAAGGTTTCTAGTGAAATTTTAAATTTAACTTTTAAACACGTTTTGGTGAAATGAGTAGTCAAACCTGTCATATGCACTTTGAAACCGGACCAATGGCAGAATATCCAACATCCAGGACAAACATCTGACATAAACACTTCAGTCTGCTCGTTCAACTTCGGGTTCCGAGGGGGCTTTCAGTTAGAAAAATGTTCTCTTTTCTTACAACAAAAACTTTATTTTAAAAAAGGAAATAAAATATGAAAGAACTGTGTAATGTTGGTAGGTCGACTCAGAGCTCTTAACAGTCGCTTTTCCATAGCTTGATGGTTTTGTCGTTTTCTAAAGCTGCAGAGGCGATGATGTTCTCTGTGGGGTGACAGGCCGTCGAGATGACCACATCTGGAGAGACAGTACGGAGAGTTACTGAAGCGATGTAAAGGGGGCATGGATTAAAGACACTGATGGCTGCAGTTACATGCACACGCAAAATCTGATTCATTTAAGGCAGAAGTCTCAGGAGCTACCAGTAGCTCTCCACCCACCAAGGGATTTCTGAATTATATTATAATGCTGAATAATTCCATTGTAATTAATTAAATAGCTATTAACATTGTAAATGTTTGATGTCTAACTCTGTGCACTAATAAAAGAGGGTTTGTTTGATGGGCATTTAACTGTGTCCCATCCAAGGCCAGGGATCTTATGTTGACCTAATTTCTTGCCAACAATAAAATGGAAACAGCAAAAGTTTAGTTTTTTTTCTGATCATGGTCCTTCTGATGACTTCCACCTGATTTTGTGGTTTACAAAATTACCAAAAACCAAAATTTCAAACTCAATTTTGATATAAAGGAATAGACTCGATACTGAATACCACAAAAATAAAAAGCGCTCTTTATTTAGACGATAGAATGTCAGTTTCTTATCTCTGAGTCAGTTCCATGGTTGTCCATGGGAGTGTGTCTGTTACACTGGATGGAACACTGGCTTTAATGCATTTTCAACAGGTGATTTAGCATGAGCCTCCAAACATCACAAACAATGAATAACCATGGCAGTTTGGCACATGTGAGTAACACCAAGGCCTCGTTAGAAAACAGCACTAGGCACTGAGAAATAGCAATAAGATAAGACCTCCAAAGTTCAGTGTTGCAACATGCAGAACGGCAAGAGAATAGAAATAGCCACTCAGAAAACAGAAGTAATGGCATATTGTTTTTTTCTGTTAGTGGCTCATTAAAATGCAAGGCAAGCCATGCTGTGTGTGCAACTCAAACTCTACTGCTGGTGTCAAATGACACACCATTATATAGGCCAAAAATATGTATAAATATGTATATATGTATATATGTATGGTCATACCTGTGTGTCCTTGTAGTTTCTGGACGATCTCCTTGGTCTGCAGGTTCCAGATGTACACCATGTTGTCCTCGGAGCCAGACACAATCCACTGAACACAAGAGTCAACAGTCAAACAAACACAATGTACTGACCATTATAGAAAACAGATATAAAACCAGATCAGAACAGAACATTACCTTTCCACCAGTGACTGAGAAGTTCGCAAATATACAGTACTTCTCATTCTTGTGGCCTGTGTAGGTTTTTAAGCACTGGAGGAAAAAAATAATAAATATTACTAAATAAAATATTTATAAGTGAGCAGGATATTATTTTAAAAATGAAATATTATTCTATAATATTTACAAATAGCTATCCAAATACAAACTTTAACAAATGTATTTGCATTGAGTGAATAATAAATTGCATGATTCAATATTTAAGTTTGAATTTGTCATTTTTATGAAGACAAACCATAAAAACAGTGTACTGTTTCACAGGACGCCTCAAAAGTCAATACATAATGATAACAACACTACACTACAGGCTACAGGCCACAGGCTTGTTGAAGCCTCTAAAAACACTACACTTAGTTATTATTCATTCACTGGCAGTAAGCCAGCATTGTAGCCACAGTTGCCCTGGGGCAGACTGAGAAAAGCAAAGCTGCCAACGTGTACCACTGACCCCTCCCACCACTAACATTCAGACACATACCACATTCATACTAGAGAAGATGTCAACAAGTGTCTTGCCTAAGGACACAATGACCAAATTAGTGCGTGTGGGAATTGATTGTCAGACCTTGGGTTGGGGGACCACTGCTCTAGGTAATGAGCCACGATTGCCACAAATAGCACTTATATTTATGTGGGAACTAGGTGCCAAATTTAAAACAGCAAACTCATTCACATCTGCATGAGCAGTCATGAGTCCACATTCACTGAAGGATTTTTATTACATGGTACAAGCAAGTTCTCCAAGACGGACTGAAACATGTGCAACATGACTGCTTATACTTTCAATACATTCAAGAAGAAAATATGGTATCAAATTAACATTTTGACTTACTTTTCCTTTGCTGTAGTCCCAAAGTTTCAGCGTGCTATATAAAAAACAAACAACATGGTTAGAGAGACACATCTTTCTCTGAACGGTTTGATAGGGACAGAGCTCCATCTGGTGGCTGTACGAGCATATAACCACACCAGTGACTACACTCACTTGTCAAGTGTTGCTGCCAGGATGTATTTTCCGTTTGGAGAAAACTTTACAAATGACACAGGAGGGTTGTCATCATCTGAGGAGATATGATAGAGTTAAGTTGGTTCACTGTTTGAAAAATAACAAAAAATAAAAGTCTTACCTATGAGTGTTTTTAGACATTGTCCTGATGCTGTGTCCCAGATACGACTGAAACAAAACACATTACAATTACATATACTCAGAATAAGAAACAACTTGTATGTCTCCTCTATCTGCAGATTTAACTCAGGTTCAGCTGTGATTGTTAAAGAGCACTGGCTACATGCAGTTATTTAAAATGCCGAGTATTGGTAAATAATAGTACTACTTTCCAGCTGCTCATTTCCTGTAGTTATACAGTAGTTATCTTGCAGTAGTAGTTAGACTTCAACCTGCCTGAACTTCTTCTAAAAACACTGCATTCTCACCATAGTCCGTCGTAGCTACTTGACACGATCAGGGAGCCGTCTCTGTTGAAGTGAACCTGCGGGGACCCAAAACATTCCCATGTCGTATTATACATCCACAAGTCAAAGCTCATCACCGTGACAACCATCCAAACACACTTACCGCAGACACCGGGTCCGAGTGAGCCGGCAGCGTTTTCAAACATTTCCCCGTCTTCACGTCCCATATCCGAACGCTCTCGTCAAACTACGGAAGCACAGACAGGAGTTTAAGAGGAGATGAAGTATGTGGGAAAAGTACTGCGAGCAGACATCTGGTTTAAATAGAAAGCTTTAGCCTGTCGCACACACACTCACCGATCCAGACACAATGAGGTTGGACTGGGGATTGAAGTTGCAGCAGAAGACGTAGTTGCTGTGACCCTTTAGAGTTTTCAAGCATTTGCCCTAGAAAAGAAAGACTATACATTAGGAAATGGTCAAATAGCCTCTTGCAATCTAAGTTTCAGGTTCATGTATTGGGTAACACAAGATGGGTACATCAAGTCAACATATTACATTATAATGAGTAAAGGCTGTTGGACTGAAGCCTGGTTTGTGAAAAAAAAAAGACAACAAAATAAGTCATACATACTTTGCCTACTGTCTAAGATAGATTAAAATTCCAGTTTAAAGTAACAGCCCTCTGTTTTACATGAGGTTAGCCACACACACCAAATATTCAGACATTATATTTTGCCTCTTTAGTCTCACCGAGTTGACGTCCCAGATCTTCAGTGTTTTGTCGTCAGAGGCAGACACCAGCAGGTTGGAGTCAGACGACCAGGCTACATCCGAAATGCCCTGCACAAAACAGCACCATTTTAGATTCACAATAATAGTCTTGCCATCGTAATAACAAAACCAATCAATACAAACATGCAATTTGTTTTATTTTTGATCAAAATGTTCTTTATAGTAATGTATGTTGGAGATTAAATGTGCACTGTAACATTTGTGGTGGAAGGCCCACCACTTTTGTCCATGGACATTTTTTTCTGTCTTTTCAACACGTGTTTAATGTCATATTGTGGAACATTCTTGGCAAACCTCCTATATCTCCAATAGGTGGTGGACCACCAAAAAAAGGTTACAAACATAAGTTATCAAACTGGTTTCAAAAATATAAAAAATGCTTTGGATTATTGAAATGAAAAGACCCTTAAGACTTCGTTCCTTTTAAATAGCCACGAGTCTTATCTCTCTTGGGGAGTGAGTCGACTCTCACTCACCAATTTGTGTCCGGATATGGTCTTCTCAAACTTGCCATCATACGCTCCCCAGATCTTTATGAGTTTATCAGCCGCTGAAAGACAATGAACATGGCATTATTATTTCTGTATTTATTAACAACTCATTCTTTCAAAGTTGATCTGTAGTATTTGTGTTGTATACTCACACGAGCTGGCGAGCCACTCTCCACTGGGGCTGAATTTGACCGAGGACACGGCCTTTGTGTGACCTGCTAATGTAAACTTCAGACTGTAGTTGGGCTTGGCAGGTGCAGACTACAAACACACACAACATAAAGTGTATTAGTGAAGAAATGTTTGTGTTACAAGAAACACAAAACTGTCACGTCTGTGTTAGGGCTGGGAGATAGCCACACAAATGATTATCTAAATAATGAGCATCATTCCAAAATAACAACACTTTTTTGTTTTCATTTTGCAATAATGATGAGTGTCGTTGTCGGAATTTTCCCAACTGACCGCTCGCTCCTCAACTTTGATCAAAAAGAGTTTGCAACGTGTGTATTTGTAATGACTAGAGCCACAAGACTGACAAGACTCAACATGTCCCCTCCAGTCTGTCAAAGAAACTAATTAAATGAAGTAAACTCAGATAAACTAGCCATAACTCAGATGCAAATAAAAGACACTGTTGTTTGATTTAACAATCGCAGCCAATGACTTTCTTTGCAGAAAGAAAAGGAATGATGTAAACTGTTCATGCTGTGAATATTGTCATTGTTGTATGAATATTGTAACTGTAAGCCATCTGAATATCTTATTTGTGTAAAACTGTTAATGGTTCATAATGTAAATGTGAGAGAACAGTATTATATTTAAATTTCCAAATTTAAATATTTGCATTTTTGGAGTCAGTAGCCTTTTAATTTAACTGTCCTTAATTTGTGATCAGTGCTGCTCCAGACTGCCGCATGGACACTAGGAAGGTGTCTTCTCCTCCTCTTTAAACAGAGGACACAGTGTTCCTTCAGCCTGACGCTGTCTGAGCCTGGAGTTATTGTTTCAGTCACGTGACCTTCGTTTGTCTCAGCTCATCTGATTCTTGGTAAATGGTGACATTTCTATACAGTGCTTTTCCACCTTCAAGGCACTCACAGCACTTTACATCAAGAAAACACTCACCCATTCACACATACATTCATATACCAGTGTACACAGACACTAGGGGCGAGGTGGGTTAAGTGTCTTGCCCATGGACACAACCACAGCAATCATCTGTGGGAGCTGGAATCAAACTGGACCCACATATGTGGGTCAGTGGATCTGCCCACTCAACCAATGATGTTTATGTTGAGAGTACACCGTGCACCGCCTGGACCACGCCATGACATAACGTCTCAGCTTTCCTGGTCGTATGCACACACTTCATAGACTGGCTTAATTGATACATTTAGACTCAAACCATAATCCTACATAGTTCGTACAGTTTTATCTAATCTCAAATCTTTAAACAAGTCTAGAGTGGCCTACTCTAATTTGCATATTTCAATCCAAAGCTGTCTGTTTCATTTGGTCAATAAAAATTCATAAGCCACAATTTGCTCTGGTGAATAGTGATGTTATTCCCACTTATGAGTCAATGATCTGGTACATGTACAAATCTAATGCTGTTGAATTAATAATTAAATCATTTAGATAAAAAATGTTTGGTTGAGTGATGCTCCAAAACTCTTCTTCTTGTCAAAAGCTACACACTCACAAAGGCCATGAGTTGAAAAGCTAACCTTAATCGACTTCTTTATATCAATTCCCCCCTTTAAATCACCCCACACATATCATGATCACAGAGGAAACATATTATGTTGTTCAAGCCAAAGGAACAGGTCTATTCACTCTAAACCGACGATCATGAAAATACGTTCAATTAGCTGTTGTTTTCATGACACATTGTTTTAGGTGCTGAGACTCCCCTGCCTCTGCTCTCCAAGTCACTCCCCCTTCAGAGCACTATCACAACACAATCAGCATGCATTCCGCTGATTGAACTACTGCACATCACATCAGCTCTGTCAAGTTTTTGTGTTCAGTTCTGTATCATGTTTTGGTATATTTCTGAGGAATTGTCGTGTGGAAGCATTGGTGATATAGGCTTGTGAGCGAATCACTGCACAGACTCATACAACAAACCATCAGGAGGGTTTGAATAGAGCCTGGGAGAAATCACTACTATACTAATTCATGAATGACATCTAAAACCTCTTCAGGTATGTTTTTGATGAGGGAATGTTATAACATGGTAGGAGAAAAAGTATTGTGCATAATACCCCCTCTTTAAAATCAACTAACAATTCCAAAAGTAATTCTTACATGATTGATTTGGTTAAATCATTGGGGTTGCTGCACATTACCTTGCTCTGGGTGGCAGAAGCTGAAGGTACAACTGGAGGTTTTGTGTCAGTCTCTGGCTTCTTATCTTCTGATGACATGGTGAGGGACAATCATATACTTCTCACTGTAAACAACAGATCAACAAACAATAAACAAATATAAAAAAACAAGACTATTATTCTGTTCTCAAATCTAAATGAAGATCTCAAAACAAAGATGTCATATAGAGTAAACATAGCAGGTCGTCTTTGCAAGTCCTGTCACCCAAAAATCTAAAATTTTAAATCAGTACTTTGTCAGCAATATGGAAAATAAGCTCATATTATCATGAGAAATCTATTTCGTCAATTTTAATACTTCTAAAACAGTTGACTGGTTAAGTATTTTATCAATAAATGCATGTTCTTTATTCTTATTTTATTAACCACAGGGGCAATGTCGACAAATATACTATATACCTACATTCAGGAGAACTTCTGCATCTCTGTCTCCGGTGTTAAACTATGAAACTATGGACTTGAGCCTAGATTTGAAACAACATTCAAGCACAATAGCATTTAATAATAAATAAATATAAAGATGTGTCACTGTTGAATGAAAAGTGCCAATTTGAGTTTTTCTGTTATTTTAATGAATACATGAATAGCCCTATCAAAATAAATACTACTTCAAGTTCAATAGATGACAGGTGGAACAATCATTTTTGGGGGGTCAAAATTTATCAAAGGGACTTTTTCTTTGCACAAGTGGGAATATTTTCATTCTTTTTGGTTGTGGAGCTGTGAAAGGTTGCATTATGAACTTCTATGACTCATTATATACCACTTAAGTGTTGTATTCTTGTTTATTTATTGCAGCTCTACGTTGTTCATTTAGAAACATTTTTATGTGGACAATTCTGCTTTTCTCATTTGGTTTCAATATTATTGTCTATATTTACTTCTGCAATATATTGTACTTGATGATGTACCTGTCATGACAACACATTTAGAATTATTAACTTGCAACAGGAAAATTCATTTCTAAAGTTCTAATTATGAAAGGGTGAGGGATTAAATAAGTTATCCATCCTCCCACTCTTTTTGGACATGCAAACTTACAGCTCTGCCAGCTTTGTATAATTTCTGTTTTGTTTTTTTTTGGACTTATGACTGTGACTCATTGTGTGTTTAACAGTTTGCACGCTTGAAGCAAACTCATTCATTCAAACTGCAATATGTGCAACGTCTGTTTCCACATGGTAACGTGCAATAACAGTTTCCTCAATTAGGTTTTAAGGCTCAAAATCCATTATGTTATAAAAAACTAATGTTTATACAAATCTATCTGCACATCACAGTAAAATACAAGTGATCGGTGCTTTTATTGGACAATAACCACTCACTGATTACATCCACTGCAGGTTAAATGCAATGCAGCGTTGGAAACCACGTAGATGCAACAATATTTAATCAACGTTAAAACTAAAGAGGACAGACAGTAAAGGAAAAGACGTAACAATAGAATACGTCTTGAAGCAGGGTGAAACGTGCAATAAAACCATGAAATATGAACAAAAAGCTAGCCTTGCACGCCGTATTTTCACTGATTCTGAACGCACTCGTAATCAGATCACAATGAAAACGAGGCTATACCGTTTCGAAAATCAATACACCGACACGCGCTGCGATCACTGATTTAATCCAGTAACCAGCGATGCAAAATGAACGAAGCCATGCGATGAAGCTGTTGACAAACGAGCCGATCTGTAGCGCAGCGGGCCCTCCGTTCGTGCGATCAACAGTCATCGAAAAACCCACCTGAAAATGACGTTGTTTTCGGCCAGATCGACCGCTCCTCCGATTAAATGTCCGTCAGAGGGTTTGGATTTTATTTTTGAACTGCCACAGATCGGGTAAAACGAATCGCGGAGCTCGATCGTGAGGTTTTGCGTCTTGCATGGAGCATTGGAAGGATGCTAGGCTAGGCTAACAGGCGGGGAATGCGGTGCCGCTCTGAGCATGCGCGCTACGCCGGAGAGTTATCGGGAGCAGCGAGGGACAAACTAAACCAATTAAACACGCGATTAATCTTATTATTTACGTAATTTGTATTTTTGGCTGAATTAAAATGACTTTTTAGACAGTCTAAGCCGCTTTTACATTGGGAATTTACTCTAACAGGGCTGAGAATTGGGATTGGATAGACTGTCAAATATGCTTTTAAAGTTTCATGTTTTCAAAAACCGCTTCCACAAGTTTTCTTAACCAGTGTCATTTAAAATGCCTGTTTGCTTTAAAATTTATATTAATTAAAATTAAAAGTCTGCAATGTTTAGAAAATATTTTTGACAATTTGAAAATATTTGAAGAACTTCTTGACTCTGTTATAATTTCCCTATTTTAATTTGCACGATCATCTGAATTTATATATTTTTTATTTTCATTTATTTATTTTATTTTTATTTTTTGCATTGCATTAAAATCCCAATCTTTCAAATTCATTAATTTTTTTTATTTTATTTTGGCGACTATAACGTCACACACCTCCATGCAGTAGATGGCGATGTAAACCAACAGCATATTGTTAAAAAATAATACAGACGACGAGGGAAAACGGAGCTCTTTCCTGCACACGTTTGGTTTGTTGTTATAAACTTTTCCTTGCTCCGATTTTTGCCCTTGACCGTTTCCGTCACTGCAAGACATCATTCTGCACAGACACGTGGAAATAATCCGAAACCAGGATGAAATAGTCCATGGGTAATCTGTTTGCTCTTGTTTACATTCTGGCTAAAGCTACACATGGGTTTGATGATGTAAAGATTGTGAAATAATAAGGTATGTTGTGTATTTACTGACATGTGATCGATGCTGGCTGTGTTTAGGGGCGAGGTCTAAGTGCAGATCTGAATCAGAAAGTTGTCAAGAATGTGCAAACGCAAGTAAGTATTTTTTTTAGGCTTATTCAAAGTCTCCCTTCTATAGATCTTTATCAAGTCGAGATGTAGCCTGAGTTATGTAGTTATAAACTTAACAGTGGTTTGCAACAGGATAATAATGGTTTAATTATTCTCACTTGTAATGTGCAACTTTTTCTGCTGCTTGTCTTCACTGAAATGTTCTAGTTTTGCCTGGAATACTCCACAGTATGGCATTAAACTACTTCAATTTATTCATTTCTGGTGTTTTAATGTCTAAATAAAGTAACATGAAAAATATGCTTACTGTGAGCTAGGGGTGTGCAAAAATACAGATATATTGTATTATACAATACAATCTGATGATACAGTATCGATATCGGGGATTGCTGTATCAGTATACCGCAAAAAGTATATTTGATACATTTTACGAAATGATTTTGTTACAGCGCTACAGTTTTGTTGCTTGTTTAGAGGAAGGGAACTCATTTATGCGACACATTTGACCTTTTTCCTGTTTTGATGATTAAAATAGTTCATATTAACTTTTCACAGGAAGTGGTTTAACAAAGACTTTTAGTATCACAGGTATTATTTATCCATTATTTTTTATTGAACTGTATTGAATCAATTTAAAATGTATCATATTGAACCGAAAGTGCACTGTGTGAAGTAGGGCTGGGTATCTTTAAGAAGTTGCCAATATGATACATACCTCGCTACATAGGCCACGATATAAGACATATCTCGATACAGTGTACTTTGGGTTCGATACGATATATTTCAAATCGACTTGATATAGTTCAGTAGCAAAATTATGGCTGTGACACTAAAAGTCTTTGTTAAACCACTGCAAAGTTAATATGAAACACAAACATTTTAATCATCAAAACAGTCAATATGTCAAGTGTATCGCATACATGAGTTTCCCTCCACTAAAGAAGCAACAAAACTGTAGCTGTAACGACATAATTTAATAAAATATACCAAAATATACTCTTGGTGATATATCGATTCAACAGCCCACGATATTGATACTATGTCATCACATTAAACGATACGATACATTGAAATTTCAATATTTTTGCACAGTCCTAGTATCAAGTTATGTATCGTAACAGCAACTTCTAAATGATATCCAACCCTACTGTGAGCGCGGTTGCCTCTCAGAAGATCGGACCTATCACTTGACTTGACTTATTGGCTGGATGGTATCGTCTGCTTGTCTCCTTGGAGATGGACACATTTTATAGCATTCTGTGGAACATAATGGGCAAAGCAGCAACACCACAATGAAAAGCAGAATAGTTTAGTTCACATTTTAGACACGTACAGAAGAACAGACAAAAAAAATATGATATATGAGATGACAAACTAATACAAGAATCACATTTCAGAACATGTCTGTACAGATCTAAACTACAGGGTTAGCTGTTACCTGTTTTAATGCAGAATAAGACAGGAGATTTAGTTGTTTGTGGAGGAAATTATGGTACTTATAATGGCAGCTTCTGCGACTAGGCCTGTCATGAAAACAAAATTTGAAGGACTTTATTTCGCTACAGAGAGATATTGTGATAAACGATAATATTTAAACTACATTATGCCATTGACTCAAAGCAGGCTGATTCCATTAAACTAGTTTTAAATTGAATAGAATATCATAAAAAGAAAAAAAAAACTGAGGTGCAACAAATGAACAACAGATCTGATAATTATCCATAGAAGTTATTTATTCTACACTGTACAGCTCAAGTCTTACCTTATTACATAAAAATGACAAAAAACTCCCCACTATTTTAAAGAAAATTCATATCATTTACTAATAATAATTACGATTTTATGAACTCTGTTATGTTATAGCAGTGTAATTCCTTTTTTTTTTTTTTTTTTTTTTTTTTTTTTTTAAACAGGTACCTTGTCTCTGTAGACCTCTAGTACAGTTTATCTGAAGCTATGGATCAAACAAAGATAAAGGTTGAAAACTGTAAGGGCCTGCGGTCTTCAGAACAGGTAGTACCGCATTCTGTATCGCAGCGTCCCTTGCTGGTGAACCCCCCTCCCCCCGAAGTGTCCAACCCCCACAAGCCCGGGCGCCGCACCAACCAGCTCCAGTACATGCAGAACGTGGTGGTCAAGTCCCTGTGGAAGCACCAGTTTGCATGGCCCTTTCACAAACCTGTGGATGCAGTCACTCTTGGGCTACATGTGAGTTAATCAGGACTAAACCTTGGGCTAAACCAGGACTAGACCAGGACACAACTACTATTACATGAGGACTGAACGAGGACTCAACTAGGACACAACCAAAACTAAACTAGGACTCAGTCAGGCCTCAACCAGGTCCAAACCAGGGCTAAATTACAACTCACTCTGGACTAAAGCCGGACTAAATCAGGGTTTAACAACGACTCAACCAGGACTCAACCAGGGATAAATTGCAACTCACTCTGGACTAAACTGTGGTTAAATCAGGGTTTAATCAGGTCCAAACCAGGGCTAAATTACAACTCACTCTGGACTGAAGCGGGACTAAATCAGGGTTTAACAACGACTCAACCAGGACTAACTCAGGCTGAACCAGATCTAAACCTGGCCTCAACTAGGTCTAAACCAGGGATAAATTGCAACTCACTTTGGACTAAACCGTGACTAAATCAGGGTTTAACCAGGTCTAAACCAGGGCTAAATTACAACTCACTCTGGACTAAAACGGGACTAAATCAGGGTTTAACAACGACTCAACCAGAACTCAACCAGAATTCAACCAGAATTCAACCAGGACTCAACCAGGACACAACCAGGACTCAACCAGGACTCAATCAGGGCTAAATCAGGGCTCAATCAGGTCTAAACCAGGGCTAAATTACAACTCACTCTGGACCAAACTGGGACTAAATCAGGGTTTAACAAGGACTGAACCAGAACTCAACAAGAATTCAACCAGGACTAAATTAGGACTAAATCGGGGCTCAATCAGAGCTCAACCAGGTCTAAAACAGGACTAAATTACAACTCACTCTGGATTAAACCGTTACAAAATCAGGGTTTTAAAAAGGACTCAACCAGGACTCAACCAGGACTCAATTGGGATTAAAGCAGGGCTCAACCAGATCTAAACCAGGCCTCAACCAGGTCTAAACCAGGTCTCAACCAGGTCTAAACCAGGTCTAAACCAGGTCTAAATTATAACTCACTCTGGACTAAACCGGGTCTAAATCAGGGTTTAACAAGGACTCAACCAGAACTCAACCAGGACTCAGCCAGGACTCAGCTAGGACTCCAACCAGGACTCCACCAGGTCTAAACCAGGTCTAAACTAAACCAGGGCTAATTATAACACACTCTGGACTAAACCTTGACTAAATCAGGGTTTAACAAGGACTCACCAGGTCTAAACCAGGACTCAACAAGGACTAAATCATGACTAAACTAGGATTCAACCTGGACTCAGAGAAAATGTGCTTTTGTAGGACTATCACGAGACAATCACCTCTCCTATGGATCTGGGGACCATAAAGAAGCGTCTAGAAAACAACTATTACTGGAGCGCTGCTGAGTGCATGCAAGACCTCAACACCATGTTCACAAACTGTTACATTTACAACAAGGTGGGCTTCATTTCCAAATTATCCTGTTCTCATAATTCTAAGATACTCAATTTTTATTTTTTACATTTCATTTTTATGTCATGTCAGCACTGGGATAACAATGTACTGAAAGTGACATATTTTTGTATTTTCTTTAATGTGCTACAACTCGTATTAAAGATATATTACGCATGCTAATTAACTTCCAAGATAGGAATTGCAAACCTCTACTGAACTGAACTGAAATGAACTTGAAAACCACCACCATGTGACATCACAATGTGGAACAGAACAGTTTGAGTTTTGGACATGTAGACAGGTTCAAACATGTTTGAATGAAACAAAACACAACAGCAGGTATGCTTTTGAGGATGTAACAACATTATAACACCGTTATAATGTGATTAAAAGCTCACAAGAGTCAATTTTGTGTAATTATAGGAAGTTTAAAGAATTGTAGTTATTTGAATAAAAAGCAATGATGTTAGTTTTGGCTTAGTTAATGTTGGTTCTCTATACTTATGTACAATAGTAGGGTATACAGACAGCTGATGTGGTGGTACAGTGTCCAATCATTAACAAACAGATGAAAAAGGGCCCGGTCAAGCAGAAGTAAACAGCAAGGCCAAAAATTCAAGTTAATGCATCTGATATAAAAATGTATTCAACAGATACATATGTACTCTAGTTTATGAAACTGTTGACCTTTTTTCTGTACCATTTTTGGTTCTAAAGTTCCATACGTTTTAAACAGACCATGTATGAAACATGGAACAAAAATTATTTCCCAAATTTAAAAGTCCTGCAAATCATGTAAATAAATGATGTATTTCATCATATCTTGTGTTATTTGATCTTTGAACTGCTGATGAAGGTACATGGTTTTTCAAAAACAATGTATTTAAAATGATACAAATTTGCTTAGAAGGACTGACATATTTTATAGAAATAGTTTCCTTTCATTTTGAAGTAATTTTAAAGTATTCGGAAGAAAAAAACTGACAAATTATGCAAAATCATGCACCTTCTACTTGCTTGCACAATTTTCCCTCTGTTACTTTTCCTTCCGTTACCATGACCTTTCTTAAATAAAAAATCTCATTACTCAAAAAGTAATCTAACTTAACCTAATCTTGTACCATATGGTAGAAAACTATATGAAGCAAATATTCAAACCAGTTTGTTAAGGATATGTAAGTTAGAACCGCTAGTTATCGCTGTTTGTATTTATTGCCCAAAAAGTGCTGCATATTTCATTCCCTCCGTTACCGACATGAGTTTTAAAATTTTTTGTCAACAACTTGAAAGAATATCACAGGTTTAACTTTACCCTGTTGGAGTGTTAACTCTTTCCTACATTCTGATACTTTACTTATTTCAATAGTCCCTCTAGTTTCTGAATAAGAGACATTTGAAAGTTAAAAATCTGCCTGTTTCCCTCCGTTACAACTTGACCGGACCCAGAAGCAAAGATAGTAAATCCATGTTTTCATTTCTCAGCCCACAGATGACATTGTCCTGATGGCTCTGGCCTTGGAGAAGATTTTCTTAATGAAAGTGGCCCAAATGCCTGGAGGAGAAGTGGAACTGAATCCTAATAAAGTTAAGGCTAGAAAAGGTATGAATTTTTATGAACAGCACAGGCTGAATCAACTTCTTTTCTTTTTTTTCAGCTTTTTAAATGACTTTGTACTCCTTGGTATTGGTATTTTATTTTAAGTAGGAACACAAAGTTGAAGTATAGGATAAAAATTAAAGTACATGTATAGAAAAGACGCCTTGAGATGACTGTCTGATATGACGAGTAGAGTAGATGTAGTTCAGACATTTCCATTGCTTTAATAATTACAACAGTTTTGGTTGCAATGTAGGTATGTGAACTTTAAAAACTTGGAGAACCACTTAATGACATCAGTAAGTGAGACCAGCTGTTCTGACAGACTCGAGAAACGTGGGATAGCTCCAACATGTATGTTTTAGTTTTTTATACTGTATTTTTTGGACTATAAGTTGCTCTGGCGTATAAGTCGCACAAGCCAAAAAATGTGTAATGAAGAAGCAAAAAACATGTATAAGTCGCACTTTTGGGGGAAATTTATTTTTTTAAATCAGAGACCAGGAACCAACATTTCATCTTGAAAGGCAAGTTCTAGCAATAACAATAGAACAGAGAACAACAGACTGTTAATGTCACATATGAACAGTTCTTCAGATAAACTATAACATAAACAACAGAACAGAACAAGTTTACCAAACTCTCCATCTCACTCCAAATCACTAAATCCATTCAATTCTTCATCCTCTGTGTCACTTCTGAGTAACTCCACGACCTCCAGAGGTAAATGGAGCATCGCTTCCTCTTCTGTGTAGCTGTTGTCAGACTCAGCATGAGTTCCAGTTAGAATTATTCTGGTCTTTCTCAATGGATGGTTTCAGTTTTCTTTATGTTTGTTTAAATTTTAAATTGTCACTGATACAGAAGTAATGGTGTGATCGACTGACATGATCCCAGACAGGACAGTGGCTCTTTCTCTTTCTTCTGCAAAGTATGTTTTGCATTGCCATAACCATATTATTGCAGTATTTTAATATATACTTGGCCAAAAAAGAAACACAAGTTCTATTTGTATAGCATTTTGATATATATAATTCTAATAACAATGTTGAAAAAAGGAGGAAAAATGTTAAATAGCGTGCATGACTGCCCCTAGCTGCAATACAAGCCAGGACCCTCCTTCTCATGGACTGTACCAGGCGTCGAATACAGAATTGGGGCATCCTTCTCCATTATTCCACCAGTGCCCTGCAGCCACTTCTTGGATACGCATTCCCCGCCTGCATCCAGCATACTGACAACACAACCCCTCTCCAGATCAGACATGGCATGACGTCGCCGTGGATTCTGAGCTCCAAAACTTGGTTTTCTGATGCAAAAGTCCACAAAGAATGATTCCTTACAACTTTTGTGTTCAGTATTGTTGTCCAGTTCACAGTAGAGCTGAGCTGTCTGGAAATCTAAAGCCAGCCATTGCGTGGAATCAGTTAAGTGTAGCAAATCTGTAGCGATGTCCAGAGATCGTGTTCTTTCTTTGATTACAGTAATAGGCCCAGTATGTACTGTACTGGGCAATTTTGAATCACCACAATAATAACAAAAATATGCATTTCTTTTTTGGCCAAGTATATGTTGTCACAATCAGATCAAATAAAAATAAACTATATACTATATTTGCATGCTTTCATTTTACTAGTCAAAAACCAGAAAACAGGTTTAACCCAAGTAGGACCTAATAATAACAAAAATCATGAATGCAATCAGTTTTTTTGCCTTTCAAAAACAGTACATTTCTGTAAAATAGGGAACATTGTGTCATTTCTATATAGGATGCACTGCATGAACTACAGAGACAAATAATTACTGATTATTGCATCGTAGTATTTTCATAATATCCTATATATTGATAATGTCGATACGCATGTTTTTTTATTGATTCCCCAATTATTCAAGCAATCTGGACTTCACATTCTGTTACATATTTCTTTTATTTTGTATATTTTAGGCAGCCAGGAAGGAAATGGGGCCAAATCTCCCCCACAACCCACCATCAAAGTGAGTGTTCATCTTCTGTATCGCTTGCACAGACGGATATCAGTCTGGTGGCACCTCGAGCCAGAACCAAAGACGACCATCCGCTCAGATTTGTTTATATTTCTGTTGATACGTACGGACCATGCATGTCCCTGATTGTCTAATCCACCTGTCAATCACATCTATCTGAAAATGGGGAGAGTCATCGGTGACCAGACTCACAGCTTTGTAAAGTATTCAAGAAGTGCGTATTCTGAATCCCAGATATCCCCGGACTCATAAACAAATACATTGAGACCATAGACTGTATCAGAAGTGGACAAAGGGAGTGTGACATCATCCAAATCATTCGACTCCAGTCAAATGAAGCTGATGAAATGACAGACATTTTAAGACAAGGCTCACTGTAGCGGTTTTAGAGAGAGAGGTGACAATGTTCAGTGTGAAGTCTATTGGAGCCAGGGCCGATTGAGCCACAAACACCCTCATACTTTATATACAATCTAAAATTAAAACACTAAATTTGCATTTCATGTTAAAAATGTTTGGTGAAAGTTAAAAAGATAACAATAAAATTCTTGGTCTGTAAATTCCTGCTATGTCCGATTTTCTCCTTGCATACATCAAAGTTTTGGTGACATTAAAACACTGAATCATGCTTTAAATTTCTTTTCTATACCCTCCCTAACCCTTGTGTTCTGTCATGCACTAACAGAAGAAACCCTACAAAAGGAAAGAACTGGCGAATTTGGCCACAGATGCCTACCTGCCCGAGGGGAAGAAGAAGAGGGAGAGTATGGAGCGGGCAGCGCAGGAGGAGGCACAGCTGGGAGGGCAGCTGAGTGAACAGCTCCAGTACTGCGCTGACATCCTGAAGGAAATGCTGTCCAAGAAGCACGCTGCCTACGCCTGGCCCTTCCACACCCCCGTGGACGCCCAGGCACTCAAACTACATGACTACCATGATATTATCAAGTACCCCATGGACCTGGGCACTATCAAGGTACAGGCATTCACAGAAAAACACAAAGCTGTATTTATAAAGGTTTTGTTTTAAAATGATGGATATAGCAGTAGCCAAGAGTTTATTTTGCAGAAAGTCAAACATGTGAATGGGACTATGGACACTTGTATTGACTAGGGCTTTCAAAAGTACTGTATAGAAAATCTGTTAGTAATCGATACTAAAAGTTTCAAAATTAAAAAGCGTATTTTTCTGACTATAAGTCGCTCCAGAGTATAAATCGCACCAGCCAAAAAAATTGTAATGAAGAAAAAAACATATAAGTCGCACTTTTGGAGGAAAGACCAGGAACCAACATTTCATATTGAAAGTCAAGTTCTAGTAATAACAATAGAACAGAGAACAACAGACTGTTAACGTCACATATGAACAGTTCTTCAGATAAACTATAACATAAACAACAGAACAGAACAAGTTTACCAAACTCTCCATCTCACTCCAAATCACTAAATCCATTGAATTTTTCATCCTCTGTGTCACTTCTGAGCAACTTTGGGACCTCCGGCAGTAAATGGAGCGCTGCTTCCTCTTCTGCGTAGCTGTCGTCAGACTCAGCATCAGTTCCAGTTAGAATTAATACAGCCTTTCTGAATCACAACAGGATAGTTTCAGTTGTCACTGAAGTCCAGGCTTTGTCGATCTATTCATTGACTTCCAGGAAAGTTGCATTGGGCATCTTCCCGGTTGCCGTGAAGCTGTATCCCTGCTTTCCATCAGCAGTGTTGGGGAGTAACGGATTACATGTACCGCCGTTACGTAATCAGAGTACAAATTATGAGTAACTGTATTCTGTTACAGTTACTGTTTCAATGAGTGGTAATTGGATTACAGTTACTTTGCTGAAATAAGTGGATTACAAGGCGGTATTTTCCTGTTTTCACATTTTGTGCTACATCCCATTTATTAATTTTTTTATTTCGGTAATTCCACTCATTGCCTGAAACTCAAACAGAACGCGCGCAATAAGACCGATGTAAACATCATATTATAGTTGGCGGTGTCAGTCACACAGTGGAAGCAGCAGTGCATTGGTAAAAACGCATTTGTGTCTTGGAAATTCTTCTCCCGATGTGAGATATATATATAAAAAAACAAATATAAAATCGCCTACAACTTAAATGTGAAACAGGAGCTACTGGCACTGGTGAAAACAACCTGCATAGACTCATAATATCTGCACTACTGTCCTATACTGACCTGTGCCACATGAGTGGACGTGCACACACAAACACACACACACACACACAAACACACACACCAAACACACACCTTCATCATCGTCATCAACCTGAGAACCCGCGGACCACGTCTCCTTCCGTAGTTACTGCGCGGACACCGTCTCGTGCGCCGCGTGTGGAACGTGTTTTCTCGCGTAAACCGCGCTTCCTCCTGTGCGCCTCTAAACCAGAACTAACACCAGGACTAAACCAGGACTAAAGCAGGACTGAACCAGGTTTAAACTAGGACTAAACCACGACTAAACCAGAACTAACACCAGGACTAACCCAGGACTAAACCAGGACTAATCCAGGACTAAACCAGGACTAAAGCAGGACTGAACCAGGTTTAAACTAGGACTAAACCACGACTAAACCAGAACTAAAGACCTGGTCTAAACCAGGTCTAAAATCAGGAGTAAACCAGGTCTAAAAATCAGGACTAAACCAGGACTAAACCAGGTCTAAACAACATGACACCTAACAGTAGGTTGACATAATTTAAGGTGATCTCATATAAAAAATTATTTCGCTATCAATAATATTTTTTAATCTGGTGAAGGAAAGTCTTATCTTGTTTCTGTCTTTTAACAGACAAAACCTCTTATGTTAAGATCTCGTGGTCTTTGTTTCTCTACAGCAAACAGTTGCTTATTCATGGAGACTTGGGCTCAGACAATTTGAAGACAACAAACAAGAATTTTCAGGATGTGGTTGCTACATTCATGTCGTTTAAAAAACATGACAATATCAAGTAATCCAAAGTAATCAGATTACGTTACTCACTTTAAGTAATTTAATGGATTACATTACAAACTACATTTTGGGGTGTGTAATCTGTAATCTGTAGGGGATTACATTTTAAAAGTCACCTTCCCAACACTGTCCATCAGTCCTTCACAAGTTTCTCGCTCACTCCAAACTTTCTTTCTACTGCCCGATTATCGGCAGAATATTTCACTACTTGCAGCAGGACAGCGGCTTTTTCTGCAGGAGACATGCGCAGTAGAGGGTGAAGTGACAGTGGTACAGGAGAAACACATACTGACACACAAGCCTAGAGCCTCTCAGTGTGTGAACATTTTAATATATAAGTCGCAGGAAACACCCAAACCATGAAAAAAGTGTGACTTACAGTCTGAAAAATACGGTACTCATTTGAGCAGGTATCAATACTAGTTACATTCAGGGGACAAAATTAACCTGTTCTAAATTAGTATAACAAGTATAAGACCACGTTTGTGTTGGTAATGGCATTATATTGTCTAAGTAAAGAGTGTTTTTTAATGATCATGGTATTAAGTTTTGAGTCTATTCCTTAGTATCAAAATCTAATTTGAAATGGCCAAAAAAATGCTATTAAAACACCATACACAGTCTAGTAGCAAAAAAAAAAAAAAGATGTCATGTGGTGATACAGGAAGTACTCCACTGTGTTTTTACACTCCCTCTACTTTCATTAGAATTGTTTGGCAGTTCCAGGGCTGAAATCATCCAATCTCTACTGAACTAAATGTAAAAGGAGCTGTTGACTTGAAAACTACTGCTTCATGACATCACAAGGTACAACAGAACATTTTGAGCTTTGGAGATGTAGACAGACTAATAATAAAGAATTTCTCAAACATGTGTGAATGAAACAAAACACAACTCCAGGTATGTTTTTGATGAGGAAGCAGCATTATAACACTGCTTAACGCTCACAAGAGTCATTTTTTGGGGAACTTTAGCTTGAACAGATGAATTAATAAAACTCTTTTTTTGCAGAAAAAGATGGATGCCCGGCAGTACCCAGACGCCCAGACCTTTGCAGCAGATGTCCGTTTAATCTTTTCCAACTGCTACAAGTACAATCCTCCAACTCTCGATGTGGTGGCCAAGGCGAGGAAACTGCAGGTATCCATTCCTCATGAGGTTTCATTGTTCCCCTGCACTCAGCGTGATGTAAGTTCAGCCCCGTGTCTCCGCTCAGGGAGTGTTCGAGCAGAGGTTTGCCAAAATGCCTGAAGAACCAGTCGACTCCATTTCCACCGTCAGCACTTTCAACTCCAGGACTTCCGAGCGCTCCGTCTCCTCTGATGAACAGACCAGCAGAGTGGCCGAGCTGCACGAGCAGGTGGGTGCAAGGAAAGTAGTTTATAGATGTTTTTTCTTTCTATAAATGTGGTAGGGCTGAACAATTTTGGGGAAAAAAGCCACATTCTGTTTTTTTGTCACAAGGATTACAGTTGTGATTAGACTTGTTTACAGTGTAGGATTCTGGTCAACTTTTGGTCAACTTTTAGTCAGCTTTTATTCAACTTTTGGTAAATTTTTGGTCAGCTTTTAATCAACTTTTAGTCAACCTTTGGTCAACTTTTATTCAACTTTTAGTCAGCTTTTATTCAACTTTTGGTCAACTTTTTGGTAAACTTTTGGTCAACTCTTAGTCAGCTTTTATTCAATTTTTATTCAGCTTTTATTCAACTTATGGTCAACTTTTATTCAACTTTTGGTCAACTTTTAGTCAGCTTTTATTCAATTTTTATTCAGCTTTTATTCAACTTATGGTCAACTTTTAGTCAACTTTTGGTCAACTTCTGGTCAATTTTTTATCAACCTTTGGTCAACTTTTATTCAACTTTTGATCAACCTTTGGTCAACTTTTATTCAGCTTTTATTCAACTTTTGGTAAATTTTTGGTCAGCTTTTAATCAACTTTTGTTCAACTTTTTGTCAACTTTTATTCAACTTTTGGTCAACTTTTTGGTCAACTTCTGGTCAATTTTTGATCAACCTTTGGTCAACTTTTATTCAGCTTTTATTCAACTTTTGATCAACCTTTGGTCAACTTTTATTCAGCTTTTATTCAACTTTTGGTAAATTTTTGGTCAGCTTTTAATCAACTTTTGTTCAACTTTTGGTCAACTTTTTGGTTACCTTTTGGTCAAGTTTTCGTCAACTTTTAGTCAACTTTTAGTCTACTTTTGGTCAGCTTTTATTCAACTTTTGGTTAACTTTTATTCAGCTTTTATTCAACTTATGGTCAACTTTTAATCAACTTTTGGTCAACTTGTAGTAAACTTTTAGCCAATTTTTAATCAACTTTTGGTCAACTTCTGGGCAACTTCTGGTCCACTTCAAAAGCATTAACATTTGAGAAAGCTGACAGACCAGTACAAGATTTCATAACATGATCTTTCTATAAAAATGGAGGATATTTTGTTCTTTTCAAATAACATTCTGTTTTCCAAAAAAAGGCACTTAATGCAATATGACAATAGCGCCAACTTAAATTGCAATTACGATTTGATGGTCGATTGTGTGTGATTTCCCCCAAAATGTGGTATAAAATTGCAGTTTTTTCTGTTTTGGTAATTCTTATGTAATTCAAAAGAAAAATGCCACATATATATACTTATTTGTAAATATTTTTTCTCTGTCTCCTCAGCTCAAAGCCGTTCACGACCAGCTGTCTGCGCTTTCAGAGGGCCCTGCCAACAAAACCAAACAGAAACTAGACAAGGACCAAACCAGGTAACCAACTGTGAGGGATGCCTCATTTGATTGATTGACTATAATTACTAAAAGTACCCTAGGCAGCAGGGGCACACCTAATATGCACAAAATTACTGGAAATGTGATTTGGTTTATGAATATTTTTTCTGGGGGAGGATGCCCAGACCCCCTTCTTCTTAATAAAGCAACACCACTTCAAAAACAGTAACAGTTTAGACTTGGAGCTATATCAAATCTATTTACCTGCCCACCCCATGCCCACGCTTTTTCTGTGGTCCCCTTACTGTTTCAAAGTCCTAGAGGCACCAACAACCACTGTGTATTTGTCTTTTGTGTGCTCAGAAATCTGGATTTACCTTGCATGGCTGTGTTAACAATCTACATATGAAGTAATTACAGCCTTTCAAATAAAAAAAAAATTGTTCAAACGAATACCTTTTTTTTTCAATCCAGTTATTCCAGTTAGTCATTCTAGAAATAAATTATTTTGGAGAGACATGAACTACAGGTTTACAGGTTATGTATGTTTTAACTAAAACCTCATGAAGAATGAAGAATTGGTTTTCTTCAGTTATGAATTATACCTAAATAGCATAATTTCCGGACTATAAACCGCTATTTTCTTCTCATACTTTGAACCCTGCGACTTATAAAACGATGTGGCGAATATATGGACAGATTCTTTGTTTGGCACATTGTCCATTCATATATACAGTCTATGATTTGGCAACACCGCGCGCAACCTGAGTGCAGAAAACACCGCTGTCTGTACACATAAAACATGGGTTAACATGAAGGTTAAACAGTTCATCATCATGTGATAAAATAAGTTATGATGCTAAATGAACACTAGTGAGGAGGATACGTCTTACCCATATGTGTAAATGACAGGAAGAAACATCCCAAACTTCAGTAGCCGGACATCCACTCAAACCTGATTGATAGAACTAGCCCCGCCCCCGGGAGAGTCTGAAATCTGCTGAAATCCTCCAAGACACTGACATGATACAGACAGAACAGGGGCTTTGTGGATTGTGTTTTGAACAGTTATTTTGCGCTTCATACACACACCCTCCTCATGGAAAATATGCAAAGAAATGCAGATGATGCAGCTTTTAAGTTAATGTGGCTGTGGAAGAAGGAAATACAGCTGCTGCATGTGAGCTCGGCATCAGTGAGTCTATGGCGAGATGTTGGCCACTCAATGCAAAAAGACAACAAAAGCTTTCAGATGCAATAAAAGCAGACAGCCCGAACTTGAAAACATTCTTGAAGACTCTGAGACCTGCGGCTATTATTCAGGTGCGGCTTATATATGTACAATTTTAAAATGTAGTTAAAATTTTGTTGATGTAGCTTATATTCAGGTGCGCTCAATAGTCCGGAAATTACGGTAATCACATTTTGCCAGAACCTCAACTAATCTTGCAGCCATTCAGCCTACAGTATGTAATGATTCACACGTTCACAAATGTCCTTTTAACAAACTTTTTTTTCATTCACAGTCAGCTTTTAAGAACTAGCACAGACGAGGACTTGGACTCCATCCCCATGACGTACGAGGAGAAGCACGAGCTTAGCCTGGACATAAACCGTTTACCCGGACTGAAGCTGGGGCGCGTGGTGCAGATCATCCAGAAGAGGGAGCCCTCGCTGGGACAGGCTGACCCTGACGAGTTTGAGATTGACTTTGAGGCTCTTCAGCCCTCCACGCTGCGCAAACTGCAGAGATACGTGCGCCGCTGCCTCTGCAGTAGGTTGAAGAAGTACCAGAGTGAGTGGTGTACTGGTGCTTTTCAGATTCTAGAAAGTGATGATGTCTTAGGCCCCATCCACACTAGTATGTACTTGAGTGTTTTTCCTTGTGGATGCCGTGTTCATCCACACTAATCCGATGGAAAACAGCTCCAGAGATGGAATGATCTGGTGCCGCCAGCTCCCACGAATTCATCTGAGTACAGATCTGATCCGGCAGCATATAGCCTAGGGGTGGGCATTCGATGAAATTTTCTTAATCGATTGTCGGAAGAATTAACGATCGATTATCGATTAATCATTAACGTTTTTATATTAAAATGATCATCATTATTATTACTATCTGCACTACTAATATGCATAAATAAATTCAACTTTACGACATATAAACCGTAACGACTCTAGAGCCACATCAGCCAGTTTGACATTATAATGTGTTTAATTCAGTTTTGTTCAACTCTCACAGAAACGAAACTTAAAACCGCATCGCTAATTTGCATAAACTAAGCAAAGATAAAACTACAGCTCTTGCGCTCTGATGCGGTCAATTTCTGTTGGATTAAAAGACATGACTCAGTGGAATACAGGTTAGTGTGACCATATTTGCGTTTGTCAAAACCAGGACATCGTACGGGGGGTGGGAGGTGGGGACTCGTCATCAACATTGCGCGACTCTCACCTGGCAAAGCTTTTTCCCACTGGACACTGAAACATATGTGCTGCTTTGTACACTGTGCACATGGCCTCACACTTGTCCCGAACGCAACGGAAAGCGTGGAATTTCTTGTACAAATCATCGTTAAATAGGCATTTGTGCTTCGGTACGTTGCAGACTGACCCACTGTTTGTGTTTGCTCGCTCCTTCTGAGTGCAGAGAGACACATGTACAGACCCCGGTTTGGTCACGCTACACACAGCAACCTACATTCAGTTTGTCGATTAAAATTAACGTAATCGATGAAATTCTTAATGATCAATTATTGATTAATCGACTAACCATGCCCATCCCTAGTATAGACGCCTGAAAACATTGATATGCTGACGTAGGTCTATGTGCCACAAAGTAATTCACTGCCAAACACTAAGAAGCTAAAATATATATACGGTCTATGCGTATGACCTGCAGACGTATGATCTTTAGTTTAGTATGAACTATCTCTAGCACGATAGAAGCACAGAACAGACTCACCATTATCAGAACACGTATAATCCACAGAGTCGTGTCCTTTAGTCCAACAAAAGTTGCACTGCATCAGCGCACAATAGCTGTTGTTGCTTAGTTTGTATAGATTAGCCAATTAACCATGCAGTTTTAAGTTTTGTTTCTGTAAAATGTAAACAAATATGCTCAAAGCTGTGTGGATAGGGAAGGCTTGCAAACACAGAAATGATGTATTTGGATGCAAATCGTTTCTGATACTTTGATATGGTGATTTATTTCAGTGTAAACATAGCCTTAAACTCAGATGGGGGGTAAAAGTCAGATTTCACTATTGATTACATTGTACTTTGTCATGAAATATCTAAAACTTAAAAAAAAAAAACTATTATTCAAAACAATAAAAGGTAACATGGTGATCTAAATAGTGTTATGTGTTAGCAGTTAGTACCCCTTAGAAGTGACATAACTCCTCTTTAAATAAAATACAAAATAAGATGATAGGTTTTATTTATTAGTGTCCTTCCTTATACCAAGTAAAGTTCTGCTGTAGTCCTGGCCTTTTAGAAGAAATAGTTTGAAGTTTTAATACACATTTTTATTGTTGTTTGTGCTCTAGGAGAACCTTCGTCTCAGCCCCCAGACAGCAGCAGCTCCTCTGACTCGTCCAGTGAAGACTCCTGCTCTGAGACCTCTGACATGTGACCATCACCCTATTATTTTAATATTTCAGTCTTCCAGATGATATTTTTATACTTTTATTCAAATCTTTGAAAATATTTTGAATGCATTTGAGTACTAGTACTTTTCTCAATCTCGATTTGAACATTATCATTGTGTCCAAGTTATCTGAAGTTTCTTTTAGTGAATCAGTGACGATGTGGAGAATCATATCAGAAATAAAAATGATTAACCCTGCTGAATACTTTTGGTCATGTGTAGGAGATGCTTTGCTGTAATGCTTGGATTTAAGAACAAACTAACCTCTGTAGTTGCAGTGTAGTTTTCTGCCAGCAGATGTCACAATAGACCAGCTTTGTAGAATATGTTCACTCTATTTACACTGAGACTTTGACTTAGACCAACTTTATTGATCCACAAGGGAAATTGTTTGGATACAGGTGCTCACACATCACAATATAATATAACAACAAAGAGCAAAAATATAAATAGTTAAAATATATTCTAAATAAGTGGGAAAAAATGATAGTAAGAGACAGGTGTCAAATAATAAATGTACAAGTAAAAATAAAACAGGTAAGTAATAAATATAAAAATCACAGTTTTATACAGAAGATCATAGGAAGACAGTGCAATAATAATATGATGATTGACAGGACATAGGCTTATCTATTACATAAGGGTGAATTGTTGTACAGTTGTAGGGAGTATTATAGTATAAATGTAGTCCTGTATCTCACTGTTTGAGCGGAGCCGTATAGGAGCCTACATGAGACTGAGCTCCTCTGTCCCTCTATAGTCTGGTGCAGTAGGTGAGTTGTACAGTTGTAGGGAGTATTATACGTCCCTCTATAGTCTTGTGCAGTGGGTGAGTTGTACAGTTGTAGGGAGTATTATACATCCCTCTATAGTCTGGTGCAGTGGGTGAGTTGTACAGTTGTAGGGAGTATTATCTATCCCTCTATAGTCTGGTGCAGCGGGTGAGTTGTTGTACAGTTGTAGGGAGTATTATCTATCCCTCTATAGTCTGGTGCATCGGGTGAGTTGTTGTACAGCTGTAGGGAGTATTATATATCCCTCTATAGTCTTGTGCAGTGGGTGAGTTGTACAGTTGTAGGGAGTATTATATATCCCTCTATAGTCTTGTGCATGAGTTGTCAGTTGTAGGGAGTCCTCTATAGTCTTGTGCAGTGGGTGAGTTGTACAGTTGTAGGGAGTATTATCTATCCCTCTATAGTCTGGTGCATCGGGTGAGTTGTTGTACAGCTGTAGGGAGTATTATCTGTTACATAAGGGTGAGTTGTACGGTTGTAGGGAGTATTATAGTATGAATGTCGTCCTGTATCCCTCACTGTTTGAGCTGAGCTGTAGGAGCCTGTTGGAGAATGAGCTCCTCTGTCCTTCTATAGTCTGGTGTAATGGGTGAGTTGTACAGTTGTAGGGAGTATTATCCGTTTAAAATGAACTAACTTTGTTTTTCACGTTTTTAATACAGTAAAAATCAGGTACAGTGCTTTTAAACATGTTTTTTCCCCTATGAAAAACATAGACAACAGCGTGTAGGTATTCGGAGCATGTAGTCCATCCATCAGTGCTCACCTCCCTGCGTTGTGTCCTTGCTGGAGACTGCCTTTGTGACCCGCCTTCTCTGTATATTTCATACAACAGAGAGGACCACGAACCTGATGATAAAGTGATCGATCAGTGCCATAACAGCGGCCTCTCTCCTCTGTCATACTCCCCTATCACTCAGCCCACACGAGTACGAAATGACCACACGCAACACTCTTCGCATGTTAAAGGGGAAGGTCAAAGCAAACAGAGTAACTACATCTTAAAAAGCCCATATTATGTTATTTTCTGATCTATGTTATAATGCTGTTTCCTCATCACAAACCGACCTGGAGTTGTGTTTTGTTTCATTTAACACACAAATCCTGCATATCTATGAGTTCTTGTCTCAAACTGAAAACATTCCACCTCCACGTTCCACCTTGTGATGTCATGTGGTAATACAGGTGCTCCAGTGTTTTTAAACTCACCTTCACTAGAATCATTTGGGTGATTTTTCAGCTCTGGAATTGACGATCTTTACTAAACAACAGATCAAATGTAGCTGTTAACTTGAATACTACTGCTTGATGATGTCACAAAGTGGAACGGAGCAAACAAATAAACAAAACACAAGTCCAGGTATGTTTTTGATGAAGTAACAATATTCTAACACAGCATAAAGCTCACAAGTCATTTTTTTGTAATATAGGAATGTAATAGAACAAAAATAATGCAAAAGTCGTCTATACAGCATTGTAGTCACTGTGTTTAAACATGTATGTCAAGAAAACCGTATAACTGGTTTAATCCAATTTAAAATGGATTTTCAAACTGCAAGTAAACCAAGAACCGATTGTGGTGTCGTGGTTTGAAATTCAAAGATCCCACAGGAGAAGACGGTATGTACTCGGATACCTGCTGCATGTAACAGCACAGTTCAGCTGACATTAAGAGCAGACTAGGAGAGGCACTCAACTGCATGAGGTAAGAAATGGCAAGTGTAAGTGTGAATACAGGGTAAGCAGTGTCAGTAAACATTACATAGAAGACCATTTAAACAGATCTGGTATTACTGCTGTAGTGTACTCTAATGACAACACACAAGCTTATCCAAGTGTGTAAAAAGTGTAGCTTTATTTATACACTGATTAACTCATGAATGTTTGAATAATCCTGTATTGAATTTGAGACTTGAGTGCTCAGTTTTCACCTACCCCCTGCTACCCTGTACTTAAAATATAAAGGATAAAAACAGTTTAATTGGATGGAGCATGAGGTGGATAGGTGCATTGTCTGCAGTGATGCGGTAGCTGTATCATACTGTTGTGGTGAAGAAGAACCTGTGTCCAAAGGCAAAGTTCTCAACTTACTCAATGTTCATACCCTCATCTATGGTCATGAGCTTTGGGTTCCTCTGCAGGGTGGCTGAGTGCTCGGTTAGGGTGAGGAGCTTAATTGCCTGGGAGGAGATCAGAGTAGATCCACACTGAGAGAAGAAGCTGAGGAGGCTTGGGCTTCTGTGGATCTACATCTCACTGGGGAGCACCCGGGAAAAACCCAGAACACTACGGGGGCTATGTTCGTTCAGCTGGCCTGGGAATGCCCCGGGATCTCCCGGAAAAGCTGGAGGAAGTGTGTGTGGAAAGTGTGGAAAGTGTAGTCTGGGCATGCCTGCTCAGACGTTTGTCTCTGTAACCCGGCCCAGATAAGTGGAAAATAATGGATGGAACACTGTATAATTACAATACAGTTAGAGCTGATGTACACTATATATGAGCACAGTTCTAATGTGTACTGTATAATTACAGCACAGTTACACTATTAGTATAGCATCATTACAGCATCCAGCAAAGTGCAGGTTCTGACACTGTTAGGTTAGTTTGCTTTATTCGTACCCCTAGGTAAATTTGTTTTGCTGATTTTAGAGGCAGATCCCACATTTCACATTTCATTCATCCACATTATGTGCAATAAACACGTATAAAAACACAATTACAAAATAAAGTGTTACAGTGCTCCAGTGCAGAGTAGTTTGTTCCATAAACAATTGGTTAAATTCATCCAACACGCTTGGCTAAAATCACAATAAATATTAAATATATATGAAACCACACAATTTAAAAAAAAAAAAAATCAAGACAAACGTATTAAAATTGATAGATAAGTAGATTACATAAGCAGTCGCGGCTGGTCAGTAGAGGGTGCAAGTGCACCGCACTCTCTAACTTGATTTAAAAAAATTATAAAGTCGTTATTTGGTATTCGGCTATATGTTTAATATTTTGTTTAAATTTGAATGTATAGACATATGTTTATCATGTTAAATGTGCTCATATCACTCTTCTATGGAAGAGCCTGAAGTTTGTAGAAAATTTAACGTCATTACGTCGCTTCTGCCCATTACGTTACATTAGCCCTAAAATACGTCTTACGGACGCCATGAAATCATCGGCGGCATGTTACTGCTACATGCTAATGATTTGAGAACTACAGAGCTGCATGCTGTACAGTTATGGCGAGTTCATCTTCAAGTGAAACTACGTCCGAGGAACAGTTTTAGGAAGTAAGAGCAAGAAAAGAAGCATTAAGGCAGCTAGCTACTTTAGCTCTCCACAGTAAAGCGGGAGGAGAGACCCGCTGCCGGGACCCAGGACCCGCTCGCTGCCGGGGCCGGGGCAGTCGCTCTCTGCTCTATCCGCCTCTACCCACTTGTTTCTCGGTGTAAAAGTTTCACTGGGCGTAGCGAGGAGAGGGCTTAAATCCACCTGGTGCTCTAGTGCTAATATGGACTGGTGTAACTTTCACATTTAAGTGGGAAGAGGGATTATAGTTTTACAACCAGCTCGTGCACTCGGCTCCAAGACCGCGCATGACGGACCCACCTGACTGGACCAGGATTTGGACCAGTTTCATCTCTTCGTATTGGACAATAGACTTTTAGAGACAGAACCAATGGGACAGCGGATAGAGGAAACACTGCATCAATCTCTGGAGAAGGTAAGAGGCTGGTTTTCATTAGTTTGGGGCAAATCTCAAGATGGAGCCTCACAGGTAAAGAGTGTTATAGTGTTAATAGTTAAATACTGTTATAGTGTTAATAGTTAAATAGTGCGTAAGTGAGCTCGTGGGTGCGTTGGAGCTGCTCTGGTTGTTCTGCTGTGTGCTGTAGGAGCGATGCTGATGCCATGTGTTCATGTTGTGATCGTAGCCTCTTACTGTAGTTATGCTGACATTGTTGGGGCTGGCCGTGAGCGGTCGTGCTGCTGCATAAACTTGGGTAAACTTGCTTAAAACTGCGCTTGGCTGTGCGTGGTGCTCTGATAGTTCAGCCAATAGTGACCAAAATGTTTCTGTTTCGTTATAATACTATATAGCCTATATATAATACATATATTAATCATATATATATATAAAAAAAACTTATACCACCAGCCACCACGGTTCATAAGTATAATAGCAGCTGAAACGAAGATCCTTTTAAAAGGATTCGTTCTAGATCCTGGGACTAAATGCCTCTGACCAGAGGGAAACAGCTGAAACTCTGAGTTTAGTTGCAACATCTTTTAAAATACTCTGGGACATCCTCTGTAATTGTCTTGAGTCCAGGGAGTCCAGGCGGCTCTGAGGATGGCCAGTCACCTTACTCACCCATTTAACCAACTGATCCAGGGAGTTCTTGTTTATAGCAGTGTAGCTGTGTAAGATAATCCCTGCAGACCACAGGAGCATGCATGTTTTGTCTTTTAAACTTAGACCTTTGCTATAATTGTCACAATCCCAAATGAATAAAAGAAGAAAAATCTTATTGGCACAGTGGATGCCAATGCGGACCACTAGTCGACTAAAATATGCTTTAAGTCCTTCACTAAACAGTGTGATACTTGGGTGAGCTACTAAAGAGGCATGAATGTCACATGACTCAATGTAAGCCCTGTGCCTAATTGACTGTGTTTGGGGACTTGAGAGGCGAGTGCAGCTCAGCGGGCATGAGAGCTGAACATATGAGGAGAGGAAGACATGAAAAAGAATATGATTTGGTCCGTTTTTAACTAAAGGGAACACATTACACATTTGCAAAAGCAGGTATCAGTATGGTAACAGGCTGATAGTAATAGCGATCCTAATACATTTTGAAAACAATGCATACATTTGAAACAGCTCTGCTTACTATACACCATTTCCAAATCACAGGAGGAAGAAGTAGACGTTGTAATTTGTCTAACTAGTTACCTACCTAGACTAGTATACGCCCATGGACCACTCTGGAACCTACCTGGACCACTGAGGGACTACACACATATAAGACCCATGGGAATAGAAAAGAAAGTACCATAACTTAACGCTGAAAATAACTATTGTCTTACATAAGTTCAGGTTTGTATGTATCATTGCGGTATCAGAATCAGTAGTGAGTATCAAGTCTATTGCTTATTATCAAAATCGAGTTCACCTTCTTTCCGTGCAGGCACTTTCCGACCGATTCTGACTGGGCTGGACAGTGGCTCTTCCTCACAGATTGCTTTTCGGTTGGACTTTTAAAAAAAAAATACAATAACCCAGTGCCCCAGCATCTTCAGTTTTCCAATCTGAAACAAAACTTTAAAAGGTGCAATTTTAGACAGTCTTACTACCCCAGCCTGTGTACCGCCACTGACCCATCATCTATTTGAACTCAGTATTTCTGGCACATTTTGCTTTTCCCGTCGACAGTTTTATTTTAGACTGTAAATTTCATTCATTCAATTTTGTTTAAAGGTGCTATATTACAGAAAATTGATTGTTGTGAGCTTTAAACTATGTTAGAATGTTGTTACCGCATCATAAACATACCTGGAGTTGTGTTTTATTTCATTTGATTCCACCTTGTGATGTCATGAAGTGGTCGTTTTCAAGTCAACAGCTCCCGTTTCCCTTTTTGCTCTGTATGGATTGGCGATTCCAGGGCTGAAATCATCCAACTGATTCTAGTGAACGCGTATGGAGTTTAAAAACACACTGGAGCGCATTCTGTACTGTGTGCCACATGACATCACAAGGTGGAACAGAGTGTTTTCAGTTTAAGAGAAGAACTGAAGTCTAAATCTGCAGGGTTTGTGCGTTAAACATGTGAAAATGAAACGAAACACAACTCCAGGTCTGTTTGCGATGAGGAAACATTATAACAGAGATCAGAAAATTGCGTAATATGGGCCCTTTAATGTTACCGTTTGATCTTAAAGTGCACTAGTTCTGATATCAATATCATTCTAAAACCATTCATGAAAGATCAACATATTCTCCAACAATCTAATCATTTTCAGTGTCTGTTTTGTTCAACTCTCTAGGCTATATTTTCAGCAGTAGTTTAAGTAATGTGTGTAGGCTATATGAGAATCTTAGCAATGTGTTTGTATTGGCCTACTGCCAGATAAGTAGACTATCAACTCTCAAGTTTGTTAACATTTCTAGTGTCTCTGTGAGTCATTGGAACCATTTACCAACAGAGATTCTAATCTGTTTTCATAGGTATGCACATCTGACAAAGAAATGTCTGCTGTCTAAACAAGTGTGTAAACAAGTATGAAGCCTCAGTGATGCAACAAAACTAAGTAAAAGTAGTAAAGTGCTGTATTTAAGTACAAATTTTAAGCATCTATACTTTTTGCTTTTAGTTCACTATATCTGAGAGCAGGTAGCTGTACTTTCTACTCCACAACATTTCTGAGCAGGATTTAAGTATTTTTTATTATAGTTTGAGACCTCCTGAAAAGGTTGTGGGTTCATTTTAAACACGATCACAGTTTGAGTAATGAGAAATATACAAATAGGAAAAGCTATCTGAATATTATATTTTTGGACAATTTATCTACCGTATTTTTCAGACTATAAATCGCACCAGCCAAAAAATGTGACTATAAGTTGCACTTTCTGGGGGAAATTTATATTTATACAATGAGAGACCAGGAACCGACATTTCATCAAAGGCAAGTTATAGTAATAACTAGGGATAGGCATGATTAATCGATTAATTGATAATGGATCATTAAGAATTTCATCGATTACATACATTTTAATCGACAAACCAAATGTAGGTTGCTGTGTGTAGCGTGACCAAACAGGGGTCTGTACATGTGTCTCTCTGCACTCAGAAGGAGCGAGCAAACACAAACATTCTGTCAGTCTGCAACGTACCGAAGCAGAAATGCCTATTTAACGATGATTTGTACAAGAAATTCCACGCTTTCCGTTGCGTTCGGGACAAGTGGGAGTCCATGTGCACAGTGTACAAAGCAGCACATGTTTCAGTGTCCAGTGGGAAACAGCTTTACCAGGTGAGAGTCGCGCAATGTCGATGACGAGTGTAGTGCAGATAGTAATAATAATGATGATAATTTTAATATAAAAACGTTAATGATTAATTGATAATCGATCGTTAATTCTTCCGACGATCGATTAAGAAAATTTCATCGAATGCCCATCCCTAGTAATAACAATAGAACAGAGAACAACAGACTAAATAGGCATCTGATATGTTAACGTAACATATCAAGAGTTCTTCAGATAACTAAGAAAACTAAGTTTACCAAACTCTCCATCTCATATCTCTTATTTACTGCTATTTTATGATTTTATGGTTTTATTTGACTAGTTTTGTTGTTTTAGGACTGGTATGACCAAATTTGAGCAATTTACCTTTTTGTTGTCTTCATTTTGTAATCTCTGTGCAGCACTTTGGAAACTGCTTTGTTTGTATGTGCTGTAGAAATAAAGTGGATTTGGATTTGATTTAACAAAATGGTATGACCATATTTAATTAATATTTTCAGTATATCCTGGCACCAGCATCTGTTCTAAGACTTTTTTCTTGGTTAATGTTGTTGTGCACTGTCGATGTGCAAATAAACAGCACACCATACCATTGTTTTTATCACTCAGCGCGCGCTCTGATAAAACAAGACCATGCACATCTCCAATCCCTCCACCAGATGACGCCCCCCAACTCTCTCCCACTCCACTCTCACTTCACAAACCCAATCCCTGAAAGTCCCAACCGTGAAACGTGGAGCTACTTCCACAAATACCGAATATTGCCCAAGTTGTGCGTGGGCTAACCCGTGTCTTTTCCACGCTTTGGCCCCTGCCTCCACCTCGCTCTGGGACTTCTTTCCACGACCCTCGCTCGCCCTTCTCGTGCTGTCTCTCCACTCCGCCCGTCTCTCCCACGTCTCCGTCCGCGAGTGTGGGGACACGAGCGGAAGGAAGCGAGAGAAAGGAAAGGGAGGCGGCACGAATCACTGGAAATCAAAGCTGCGGGCTCGTGAGTGCGCGCAGGGAACGTTTGGAACCGCCGCGCGTAAAAGTACCGTACCGTTGGATACTAAACAAACACTTTTACGCGTGGACACGTTTTGGGCTGCGTTACGCTCGCGCCGTGGACAGACACACAAGAGGATGGTGGCTTAACGCTGTAACCAACCTACCCTCGTGTGTCATCCCCCTTGTTCTGTTTTGCCTGAGGATTTAGCGATTCAGTTTTTGGACGTTTTCTGGATAAACTACGCCTTTTCGGACTACGCCGTGGCACGTTTTCGCCGTTCTGGAAATGTGAGACAGTGACCCGAGTGCAACCGCTGCATCTCCAGCTGTCTCCTGACAACAACAAGCGCGACTCTGGAACCGAACACGCGTGGAAGTAAAGTTTGCTGTGAGAATGAAGAGGAGAAAATTGTCTTAACTGCTTCGATCGCCACTGCTACTGATTTTGGATTACTGTACGCGCAACGTGCATCGCGTCAAGTACGAGTTGGCATGCTCGCGGAGTTGCTGCTGCCTTTCCTCCGCATGTAAAGTTGTCACATTGCCCCGTAATACAGATAGTGAATAATTAACGCGCTGTAGTTAGCGGTTGGATTTATTTGTATAACTGGAAGCCACGCCGTTTTGGGGAAGTTCAGACCTACTTCGATTTGGTCCCGCTTCAGCTGCTCGTAGAATGACCAGCTGCAACTACTACTGCTGTTAACCCTGTTTTGCTTACAGCGCAAGGCATCACTGGAACATACAACCAAGCCTTTCTTTTTTTTTTTTTTTCACTCATTGATTTGGATTAGTTTTGGGATATCAAGACGCAGAAATGGAAGAGTGGAGGCAATGCGGTCGCTGGCTCATTGATTGCAAGGTGCTGCCGCCGAACCACCGCGTCGTGTGGCCCTCGGCGGCGGTGTTTGACCTGGCCCAAGCCCTGAGGGACGGGGTTCTGCTGTGCCAAATGTTGCACAACCTCTCGCCCGGTTCCGTGGATCTAAAGGAGATAAACTTCAGACCGCAGATGTCCCAGGTAAGGCGCTGGTTTGGTTCGTTTGGTTCGTTTGGGGTAGACGTGACAGCGCCAGGAGTGACACGAGGGGGCACGGGTCGCGTCAACGCCCCCCCACCCTGCACGCGGGAGGGATGGGTGCTGCGTGGGGTGTGTCTGTGTGGGTGTTGCTGGTGGATTAGGCAGATGTTTGCGCTTGGGGATTCGTGGTTGTCTCGGTTTTTGTTTTTGAAGAGATGTTTGAAGAGATGTTTGGAATCTTGGGAGCTACAGTGGTGCTGACAGTTAAATTTTGTGATTTGGTGGTTCATTTACTTTGAGAATATTACATTACACAGCAGTAATTTCTTAACATAATGACGCTTCTTAATTTCTGTCTGTAGTAAATTATATTGTAGTGATTTATGCATGGGCAAAGTCAGCACTGAGTATTGCAATTCATATTCGGTGATCCTTATTTTGATTCTGTCTATTGCTGAACTTAAAGTTGCACTACGTAACATTATTGGTGGAGTGTCTGCCACCTGTAGAATCCATTGCATTGCCTGGAATGTTCCACAGCATGGCATTTAACTCATTACACGCTGTTACTGCAAAAATACCTTGCATTCTTACTGTGGACGGGCTTCCCTCTCCAGAGATCTGACCTGTTACTTGGCTTGTTAGTGCCGTTTGCTTGTCTACATTGAGATAGATACAGTGTGTTTAATGCCATGCTATGGAACATTGCCAGCAACATCTCCATGGATACCAGCAGGTGGCAGACACTTCATAGTGCACCAGCGATGAGAAATCTATTTTTACATATCTTTAGTAGTAGTAGTTTATTCGGTCATTTTCCTGTACTACAAAACAAAACATAACGAAACATAGACTACAGTCCCACAAATAATGACCAAAAGGTACTTATAATTAGGGCTGGGTATCGTTAAGAAGTTACCGTTATGATACATATCTCGATACATAGGCCACGATATGATACGCTTTTCTATACAGTGAGCTTTCGATTCAGTACGATTCAATACAATATATTTCACATCGATTCGATACGGTTCAGTGTAAAAAAGACTAAATGATGGCTCTGATACTAAAAGTCCACTAAGTTTGAAAAGTGAATGTGAAAAACATCCATTTTACTCAAAACAGTGAAAATGTGAACACAACTGTATCTCTTACAGAAACTAATTTAGTAAAAATATACGTAAAATACTCTTGACGATATATCAATACAGCAGCCCACGATATCGATACTGTATCAGCAGATTAAACGATACGATATATCGATATTTTTATATTTTTGCACACCCCTACTTATAAAATCAAACCCTATTAAACAATGACAGAATTTAAAGAAAAAACAGTGTACGAACAGCAAGTTAACATTTACAATTCCGCTTATGGCTTACTGTATATATAAGAGACAAAATATAAATTAAAACAAACTAAACTGAATGCATAATTGATTCATTCCAGCTCTCTATATCTTCTGGACATGCCTGTCATTCATGCAGAATCACACCTCAAGTCTGTTTGAGAATGGGGCATCATTTTGTATTCTAAAAGCAACATAATAGGCACTCTACTTTCAGAAAACAGCTGAGGAGCACCAATACCAATACTGGTATCAAATATCTGCAACAGGCCCGTAAATATGTTTTGGATCGGTTAATTCTCCTGTGATATTGGTTCAGACTATGTTTTGGCTGATGTAAGCCTCTAACATTTTAGAGTGTTTGAATTTTTATCCCTACAAAGCTGTTCAGTAGTTACTTGCAAGATAAATAACAGCTTCATACAACTATGGGATCCAGTTTGTGATAAATTAAAGGTGTGCTTTGTAATTTAACACTAAATTCAAGGGTCTGCTTCTTGCTTGTCTTCATGGAGATGGTATTTCTTTGCCTGGGATGTTGCACAGTAAGGCATTAAACAAATCTGTCTTGCATTTGTTCAAGTACAGGTGGTTTATAGCTCAAAAATGCTTTAAAACATGAATTCTTACCATATGCAGGCTTGCTTCTCCATAGATCTGACCATTAACCTGTCTCCATTGTGATTTCAAAAGTTCATTTCTGTACTGTGGAATAATCAAGGCAAACCGTAACATTTTCATTGGAAGAGTTACACAATGCACCTTCAAAGGCCATTCTCAATCCTTAATATTGGATATCGGTGTAAATATTTCATAAAGTCAAGTATCTATATCGGTATCGGAGATGAAAAAGCTGGATCGGTGCATTCCTAGAAAGCACTATCCAGATGTGATGGATTAAATGTATGGCGTGTTCATTCATATCTACCCTTGAGTCATTGTTCTTTCTTTGCCATTGGCTTGGTCAGACCGCTCTCTACATACTCCGCTGTGGTCACTGGAGCAGCATTGTCAGGCATTGTCAGAGTGCAGTCCCTGTGTGGTATTCTCTCTCCTCTCGAGTGTAGGTCCGGAGATCTCTAACCAGAGCTGAGACTTGCCTTGACAAGCCCCCGCTCTCTGCACTGCAACTCAATCCAACACTTAAATAAGCCCAGAGGAGTTCGTTCATTCACACATGTCTTAAACTCTGCCGGTGAGGTCATCTTTGGAACATGAAAAAAAAACGTTTTGATTTCAATACTCTATTAGATCTTCTGTTCAGTTTTTTTTTTCTTTTCAAAAACAATATACAAATGTGTTTAAGTGCACACTGTAAGATGATATGCTGGTCTCTCATTTAAAAAGGTCTGACCATATCATTGACAATTAAACATGCTGAATCTTGGTCTTGATTCTAATTCGATTCATTGACCAGTTGCCGTATCCTGTCCGCTCATGCATTTTTAAGAGGAAATATCTATTCATTAGGTTCAGGTTGAAATTACCTGTCTTTTTTAAAAATATCTTTTTCCTTTTCATACTCCTTATCCAATCGTTCAAAGAAACAAAAGTTAAAGTAGTTCAGCTTGTTTTGGTTCTTACGCCAATGCCAAGAGATATTTGTTGACAGATATTAGGACTGAGCAGTTTTGGGAACAGATTCTGATTGCATTTCAAATCACAATACAGTCTGCGGCACACATTTTGAACATGCCCAGATCCACCAACATCATACAATGCATATGAAGTGCTCAATTAATAACGGAATTTGTATTTAAGATTGATTTAGAAATTTCATATAATATCATATCTCCAGACATGAGATAAGCATGTCCCAACTAAATAAAGCTTTTACTAACAGGATGTTCCATTTATTTATGTTATAATTTTTTTTGTGTTTTGCTTCTCAAGACGATTATCCAATCAGAGCGCAGAATGAGCCTCATGAGTCTCACAAGAGTCTCATTTGGGTTACTAGTTCCATTAGACTAAGTTCAGTTCTTAATACAGACTCTCTGATCTGAATGGTCACTACTTAAAGCCCAATACTTCCAGCTAATCATGACTCAGTGCCAGTGCAGCCTCTGCAGCTCAGGGAGGGAATTCTGGAGGTTCTGAGGTTTGACATGAGGCCTGTCCATATACTTTTGCACTGGTAACCAAGGTTTACATGTGATTATAGTACCTTTTTAAAACGGTTAAAGTGCAGGCTACAAGTCTTCTGTCAGTCTTGTGTATTTCATAATATTTAGTGTATAGTTTGTTGAAGTCTAAAGTACAGGGTAAGTTTGGATATATTTGGTATTTTGTTGTAGAGTACATGCACACTTTGCTATTTGCATATCGTGCCCCATTTAATAGCAATTCTGATCAATTTGTCACATCTCACAAGTATTTAAAAATGTTACCATGAAGAATATAAAGTCCTGTTTAACACACTGTGGTTTTTTGCCTTTAACCACAAATGGGAGGATGACTCATCTCCATTAAACTGCATTAGGAGCAGCCTGAACAATGCCTGTGTTCACACTATGGCGTGTGCGAAGCGTCTTGAGGGATTCCTTAAGTACGAGATAGAAAATGTGTCAAGGACAGTCTAATATTTGCCCACCGTGCTCAGAAGAGACCCCCCACTCACATCGCATTAGCCGTGTAGATGTGAATATAGGTTGGCTGCTCTACTGAATTCCACTCACACAGTCATTAGTGTGCCAATGAGGGCATGGAAAATGATTCAGAAACTCAAAATAACAATTGGGCTATTGTATTTTTAGTTGACAAAGACAGGTTTAGAAATAGTACATCTGGAGTAGACAGTAATATGGTTAAGGTTACACTTCATTGTCTCTCATGTTCTCCCTGCATTTGACCCAGATTTGTAAACATGTTTTCAATGCAACAATGCAGCACACAGGGAAACTCTACTACAACCGTGAATAAAACGGAGGAGCTTCTTGCTGTGAGGTAAGGATGCTAGCCACTCAACGACTGTACGAGCAAAATTAGGCCTGCGTTTAAATGTTATAACGACAGTAATTTTGACTAAAGCCCTCGTAACTTAAAAAAGCTGTAGACACAGATTCCAGTGAGCAAAAGAACAACAGTTTATTTAGTCAAATCCGTATCCAATCCTATATGTTGTGTGTTTTAATATCGTGTTTTCTAAGTTATGATACAAAAACGTAAGGTGCTGCTCTTCTCCAGATGTTTGCTTTGCATGTAGTTGCAATGTTTCACAGTATGGCAGCACAGTGGCTTACATTTACGCTTCACAGCAAGAAGGTTCCGGGTTTGACTCCCAGGTCACTCGTGCCTTTCTGTGTGGAGTTTGCATGGGTTTCTTTCAGGCATTCATTCAATTCTCCAGCTAAGGTAGTCAATCTGACGCCTCCTATTGCCTCCACTCCATTTCATTTCTCTCCAGCGACTAGGTCAGGAATCGGAATACACTAGATGGTTTGTAAGAACTTCGGAAGTCCTAGGTTAGGTTGCTTTATTCGTACCCATAGGTAAATTTGCTTTGCAGATTTGAGAGGCAGGTCCCACATTTCACATTTCATTCATCCACAAAACATGTATAAAAACACAATTACAAAATAAAGTGTTACAGTGCTCCAGTGCAGAATGGTTTGTTACATAAACAATTAGTTAAATTCATCCATCACGC